ATAAGAAAATAAAAAATAAATAAAATGGTGGGGTGCGTTTCGAATTTCAAAGCCGTCTAACTCCTTTTAATATTAAGTTATAATGTTTAAACTCGGACCCAAGTAAGGGTCCATGGTCCAATAAATACTATACGAGGAAATTTTTATAGGTGAATTAGGGGGAGCAGGGGGGGGGTCCCCAAAGGTCAATTGCATAGCTGACGGTGAGAGGACTTTTGAAGTGAAATTGTGGCAGGCTTCCCGTGTTCAAGTGGACTGGTGGTCAAGACACTGGACTAGTAACTCACGGCAGGGATGGGAGGTCGCAGGTTCGAATCCCTGCTGCGGCAACTTTTCAAAAAAAAAAAAAATTTTTTTTTCTTTTGCTTATTTTGCATGATATTAATTTTTTATTGTGTTTTTCTGTACTTTAGGGGATCCTGCTCGTAGGAAATAATTTTTTTAAATTGGGAAAATTTCAAAAAATGGGTGAAAACTGGAGAAATCCATTAAAATTGGGTATTTTCCTTTGCTTTAAATTATTTTTAGAATATATTTGAAGTTATATCATGCGTAAGGGTTTCTATGATTAAAAGCGTGCATCTTTCTTTGTTAAATAACACATAATGGAAATATAATAAAAAAATAAGAAATAAAATAAAAAGGTGGTGTGCGTTTCGAATTTCGAAGCCGTCTAACTCCTTTTAATATTAGAGAACTTTAAAGCGGTTACCTAATGGAACCTATTATGGTCCATTGTATGCCCCCTGATTTGTTTATAAAAATTCTCTTCTGCAGCCATGTTTGGATCATAGACCCCTACTTAGGTTCCGAGTTTGAAAATTATACCTTTGATTTTAAAGGGAGCTAGGGAGTCTTGAAATTTGAACCTTTCTCGAGCAATTTTATTTTTTTATTCTTTTTTTTTATTAATCCATTACGCTTTCTTTGCTGGAATTCACACACAAAAAACACGCAATGCATGCTAGAATATCCAAAATGTTACAAAAGAAGTCGAAAAAGAGCAAATAAGCTGATTTTCCTAGATTTTTCCAGTTTTTTCCCATTTTCCCTAAAAAAAAAATTATTTCCTACATGGAGGACCCTCCGGAATATTGAAAAACACATTAAAAAATAATATAATTTAAAATAAACGAAAAAAAAAGAAAATTTTTTGCAAATGCAAATAAAAAGTGAAAGTTCAGAATAGCTTTTAATCTAATTTAATGATCGGATTTTCGCATACTCAACCTTTGCAGTTCAAATACTTAACCTTAAATATAAGTCGTTCGAAATAATGCTGACGATGTTCTAAGTTATAATCTCAGATAAACATATATTTTTTAAAAAAAATTTCGACAGTTCTGATATTCTCTCCCTTGAAATAAGGGGGAGGTTGACCGAAATCTGCTAAATATGATCCCAATAATTTATACAGGAGAGTGATTAAAAGTTTTGACCTATCCATGTTAATTTTACTTTTTTCGTATTTCGCCTTATCTCTGGAAATTCCTAAGCAAATCAAAGAGTTTTTGCACACAATTTTAAAATTCTTTTATTCGAATATAATTTCATGTAAAATAATAATTATTATAATATATTTTATCTACTGAAGAGAAATTGAATCGTAAGGTATTATATTGTTAAATATGTAATTTTAAACAACAAAATACAAAAATTTAAATCAAATCAGTGGAATAATTCTAGAGAAATCAAAATTTAAATATACGGCGTTTTGAAATTTGCTAACTCAGAAACTATTCGATCTATTTTGTTCAAATTTTGTGATTCAAGATTACACATACTTTAGAAATGGTGTAAAAATTTGTATACGTTACAACAGGAAAATGTTTTGACAACTTTTAGATAAAATAATTAATAATTTTAATTTTTTTTAATGAAATTATCTTTTTATTAACGAATTTTGTAATTGTGTACAAAACTCTTGATTCGCTTAAAAATTTCTCGTGAAATCGTGAAATGCGCAAAAAGTGAAATTAACAATAAAAGTTAACTTCCGACTGCCTCCTGCATAAACTATTGCAACCATATTTTCCAGATCGTGGCCAGCTGATATCCATATTTTGAGTATCAGAATTTCAAATCTGTGGAAACGAAATATATTTTTTCAAAGAAAGTACGTTTTTGTGTCAGATTTTGTACTTTTATTATGTCACTAAAACATCGCCTGCATTAATTAATTGGCCCATTTAAGATTTGACTTTCGAACCCATTAAGATAGTCTTAGTGTTTGAAAATCCAATTATTTAATGAAAATTTGCTCGGGGGGGGGCGGAGTGTTCACTTTTTTATTTTGCGCACACCTTTTTTCCAAAAATGTTCTATAAATTTAAAAAATATTTTTTTTTTGTCCTTCATGTATTAGGGCATGATTTTATAAATTTTCATAATTAAAAAAATATTTAATTTATTTCTTGTATTTTTTCTTTATTACATGATTAAGTTTTTAATTAAAACTCCTTCAAAAAAGAAATAGTTCAAATTCTACATTATTTTTAAAGTTAAAATATGTATCAAAATAATATTTTGAGTATGATTAAAACCAGTTTAATATAAACTGAAAAAAGGTTGCTAAAAGTCAGCTACTTTAACAGGCTGATAATTTGTCCATATTTTAATAACTTTATAGGTAAATAAATTTTTAAATTACTTTAATAGTAATGCTTTCTGAAGTCTTATGCTTCGTTTAAGTAAAAAACATAGAAAACAAATTAAAAAATAGTTGTAATACTGAATAGTGGAGTTCACTGTGAAATTAAAATTATTAACCAGTTTTAGTTAAATATATAAAACAACCATATTATATTAGTGCATTAGCTTATTATTAAAACATTTCTAATCCTCTTTAAAATTCTAATTGAAAAAAATATAACTTCTCAAAATAATATTAGATGATTTATGCATATCAAAGATACTGAAGACTATTAAAAATGCTAGTTAATTAAGTTATTTGGTCTGTATCAGTGCAATTGGTTGCTTACAGTTGCTCTTTAAATTTAACTGATTTAAAATCTTCTACTAGAGTGCGAAAAAGCAACTTTTCTAATTAAAAACAACTAAATTTCCTGTCATTTGCATATGATTTGTCACTTGTTACAATCATTTTAAAATATTTGCGTTTAAACCTTCACCGCGCTGTGACGAGACCGGCAATAAAAATAAATAAAACTTATATATTTTTCTCGTTAAGCTGCTTCGTAGACTATCTGTAAATTTACAGTAAAATTCACGTTCAATTCAATTCAACACGAAAGCATATCGTGCGTCATAAAATCTATATATGGGTCATTCTCACAAAAAGGTCATTTTTTATGTCCCTTAGTAATAAATATTAGGAAATATGGCAGATTCCTTAATATTTTTCTTCATCATTTTTCGTAAAGTTCTAACTAACAAGCATATGCATTTTTGCTAAATGTATTTAATATTTCATTCTTTTTTTTTAATAAACATAGTTTCAAAATCTCCTCCGTGGACGTCCCTACGTCTGTGACACAGAATAATTTTTAATGGCTGTTAAACAATTTAAATGTTATTTTAATGGTTTTTGTAGTTTTACCTAGTTAAATGTTTATAGTAACTTTTCATTTAATATTTTTTTTTTAAAATTTATTTTTATAAAATAAATGACTAGTAAACTTTGTCCATCAAAAATTAAATCTCCCTCCGTGAACAACTAATATAGTTCGGTAAATATGCAATAAAGGGCAGAATATGCGAAATCCCTATAAGACAGCTGCTGGGAAAGGTAACCATTCTATTTTCTAATGTTAACTATCAGTTGTTTTTGTTCTCTTTGGTGTCAGTTTTGGACTATTGTGTTCAAATGGGGTTTGGCAAAGTTCTCACCGTATACTCCGTGGACATCATAAAGAAGGTAAGAGAGAATCATTTTATTTTTGGTAGATGAATTTTAGATTGCAAAAATAGTATATTTAATAAAAAGAACTGCGCCATATTTGTAACTTTAAAATCAAAAATCAGTAAAATTCAAGAACTAGTTTTTGTCTCCTCCGTAAGGTACATAGTTTTTTTTTTTTTTTTGCATCATTTAAAAATATGTAATTTCATACCTATTGAGCGAAATTGGTCGATTAATCCTGAGATATCGATTTTTATATGTACCACTTTTTTAACATTTCATTTCTCAGGATTAACCGATTTCGTTCAAATCTTGTATTTTGCCATGTGGAAAACTTAGAATATTTTGTAATCCAATTTATATGGGAACAAGTAACTTGTTTTCATAAATATATTCAAAACATGATACATAAATAACTAAAATGACGGTTAGAGATGGAGTACAAAAAGTTTTTGAAAGGGCACCCACCCAGAGTTATTGCCCCGGGGTCCCGAGGGGCGAAGTTACGGCACTAGAAGAAGAAGGATATTTTATAACTATTGCAGTTCTGCACAATCTGAAATCAAATTTATTCATTAGAATGAAAAAATAAGTAATGTTGACTTTAATTTATAAAGAATTTATAAATTGTAATTATAAAGAAATATAAATTAAATTTTTTAATTTATAGAGAATTGAAGAAATATATTTTACTGTCATACACACATCTGTTACGGTATGCGATCACGAAATCGGAAGTAATCGGTTGTAAGATTGTTGCTGAAAGAAAGGGAAAAATTATCGAGAAATTTTTCCTTAAATGTAGGGTGCGTTCGATTTTAGCCCTTGCTCTTGGTCATTTTTTTCAAGTACTTCTGCCTTTTCTTTAGGGAAATTTTGCTTTTTATTTGCAACAAAGACAATGGCGTTTAATGATTCAGATAGAACTAAATGAAAACTTAATAAATAGTAGCCTGAAATGATATAACACTTGTTTCAAGTGTTACGATCGCGAATTAATAAAGCGGAAAATATCGTAGTAAATTCCTATATTGCTAAGAAGAGGCGGAGAGGGGAAATGTGCACTGTGTGATCTCTTTTTTTTTTTTTTTTTTTTTTTTTTTTTTTTTTTTTTGTTGGCTTTTCTGGGCTTTCCTTTAAAGATCGCTTCATTAACAGAATATAGCCCATTGTGCAGCTCTAGTGCGACGTAAATTAACAACAACAACATTAATAGAATTACAGAGCTGTAAGCTAATGCAAAGAGCTCGCAGCAATGCTCTACAATCTCTAACTAGCGGGAATACAAGTTTGTTCATTTACCTTCTGAAACATTAGGTTACCTTCTAAATACTAGACTTAGGATTAACTATTTGGAAAGAAAAAATATGTCAGCTGTAGACATTGAAATTCTCGATAAAAGTACAGAGAATTTCATCGAAAAAGCGAAAGATCACATGCCATGGTGAGTGTGCATTCAATATTTAACCCAACCTAAGCCGCTGATTATTTTTAATGAATTGTAATAACAAAACAAGAATTGATATTTTCTGTACAAAATTTTATTTTTTGCATAAATGTTTTGATCATATCTGTCTAAAACATCACAGAAAGAGATCAATTCAAAAGGTATAACTCATAACATCTACAAGTTTTTTTTTTAAATTGCAATTTAAAAATCTATTTGGCACCTTGGCGATTTTAGTTGGGGGCAACAGATCAAAATACAGAAATATCACCCAGAAAAATGTAAAACTTGTTGTATTTTTCCAAAATAGTTCAATCTCTATCATATCACATAATATTAATTTCTTAAAAAAATTCTGTAATTTACATAAATTAGTGATATATAGGCAAAATAAAATGAATGCCCCAATTAGTTTAAAGTTCTATAATACTCTCTTCTGGTTCTGCTTAAGTCATTAACTGTCTATAAACTTAGACAAGTAATTTAGCTTTTTCGTGAGTAATTTTTTTACAGTTTGCACCCAACAAGTCTGGATAAAGAATTCCTGTTGCCTGGGTTGGAATTTTTGCCCGCAAAAAGGGTTTTTTGCCAGGACAGTGGCAAAAACCAAATTATCTAAATAGCTGATTAAATATTATTACAAAATACTTGAAACAAATTTAACTCAATCATAAGGAATAATAATTTTGATACATTACATGANATTTTAAAAAAAGAAGAGTTACAGGATTAGAAAGAATATTTGGGTATTTTTCTGATAGCAGTGTGTTTTAGTAATCACCAAACTATAACTCTACACGACAGAGTTTAAATAAATATAATTAATTGATTGAAATTGAGAAACATTTTTTGCTGCATCTCATTTACTAAAAAATGAAATGAAACAGTATAATAAGTTAATTCGTTTATAAGCTTTTTAAAATAAAATTTATGTATAACTTTCTTCCAATATTAACACTGTATGCTGTTTTAGATTTAAATTAAAGAAAAAAGCAGACTTAATTATTAAGAGTTAATATTAGAGCAAACTGTAAATCATACACAATAAAGGAAGAAAAAAAATTTGGCCTTCATGGAGATTTCCTTTCAGAAACATATTTTTTTGCTCTCTTTTGGAGGGTTTGTGTTAGAAATTTAAGGAATGGTACTTTTCCATTATGCCGGCGCAGGTGATAAAGCCGCCAATAATGATGCAACCAAAGCCAAACGGAATATCGCTTCTGGTAACCTTTTGCCTCCACATTTTCAAAGCAAGTAGCTGCCATTTTCCCCCCATCAGTCATGTCTTTTTCTAAATACGAAAAAAGCAATGAAAATTTGAGATTTGCCCAAAACAGAGAAAGAAGCTGTCAAATTCTTGCAAGAGAAAGGAGTTTCGGCTGAAATCACAATTTCTGATAAGAATCATGAAATGAAATTGTATATCGAAGATGAAATTCATTGGTGTTGCAACCTTTCATCTTGTCCGCTGTTAAAGAAGTATCTGTAAAGGCACATGGTTTCAGTCATCGAAATTGAGCTTTTTGAAGAGTTTATTTGTGGTTTGAGCGAAGAAGCAGTTGGAAATTAGACACGGAACAGCTGTAGACTGGAATAACTTCATGCATAAGATTTGTATGAATTCTTTGCTTAAACCTGAACAACGGAAAATAGGAGGACCTGCCATGATCGTCGAAGTGAACGAAAGCTTGTGTACGAAGGCGAAAAAACAATGCGGTCGGATTCTACCACAACAATGGATTTTGGGTGGAATTTACCTGGCGAACGAATTGTGGAGGTGCCAAACCGATCCATGAACACTTTGTTGAAGGTAATTAGGGAAAATACCGAAAAATACTAACTAGTAAGCTGGAAGATGAAAGTTTCGAACATTTCAAAGTGAACCATAAGTACAACTTAGTCGATCCAAAAACTAGAACACACAAGCTAAAAATAGTGTGACTGTGGGGCAGCGTTAAATGGTGAAATAAAAAACAAAGAGGAACGGCACGCCTTCATCTCGAAAGTTATCGTGCGGAATTTATGTGGAGAAGGTAAACGAAGGACCCATTTAAAAAAATTTTAAGTAATATTAAAATGTTTATGCCTTAGGTGTAAAAAAAGTTTTCAACCATTTATTAACTGTTTTTTTATGTGTATGCTGTGTGATGTGGACAATAAAGTCTGTTTCGTGTGATTTGTTCGAGCCACAAAATGCGGTCGCCAAAAAGTCTGCTTGGCGTGATTTGCGCCGGTATAATGGAAAAGTACCGAGCAAACTGTAAATCAAACACAATAAAGGAAGAAGAAAAATTTGGCCTTCATGGAGATTTCTTTTCAGAAAGATATTTTTTTGCTCTCTTTTGGAGGGTTTGTGTTAGGAATTTTAAAAAAAAGAGAAAAATCTTTATTTTTAACTAGATTCTTTCTATTTTTGTATGCTAAGCACTTTAGTGATATGCTAAACAATTAATGTTAGGCTAAACGATTTATCACAATTCTATAACTGTATCCAGAATGGTTGTCTTCTGTTATTTTTTTTTCCTTCCTTTTTCCAAAAAATAAAGCTTGTTATTTTTGTATTAAGCTCTCTGTGTTGTATTATACAAATGTTCAATATCAAATAGTAAGGGAACAATATATATTTCTTATTTAGGGTTGAAAAGTATAGACCTAAAGCCTTCAGTGACATTGTTGGTAATCAAGAAGCTATTGAACGTTTTGAGGTAAGAATAAAATTTTGCTGTCATTTTCCGATAATGATTTTTAAAATTTTTTGTAGAATTAGTAATTAAATCATAATACTTACAATAATTAACCTACAGGGTATTTGCATACCTGGAAAGTCATGAATTTCGGTATTTGACATCTGAGATTGTCGCAGAATATCATTTTATCTGTATGTCAACAAAACAAATAAGAAAACGAAGTTTCTAAAGCAATAAATTTATTTTAAAAATGTATTGGTAGACAAACTGTCACAAACAGAGTGACTAATGAAAAGAATGAATACTAACAATAATGCTTCTACAGAAGAACAAATACTCTTTAAATGGATGACGCCATGATCCACGCAAGAACGACCAGCTGCAAATGAAAAGAAACTGGCCGATCCCCGCAAACCATGACGTCACCGACGCAAGTTGAATGCATGAGTACAACTGACAAAGATCGAACCTTATACCCTTCTAGCATTTATTTGTCTAACAGTATTGAACAAAATTTGTTATGAAATGTCGTGATTTTAACTATTTTTTTAAAAAACAAATCATAGAAAGTCATGGATTAAGGTCGCTGAAAAGTCTAATTTTTAAAATGGAATCCCCCCCTCCCAATTTCATGGTGTTTAGAATATCTGAATTTGTAACAAAGTCCCCACTGACAGTCACATTTTAATTAAAATATGAAATGTTTTATCATGTTCTTTAAAACTTATGGTGTTCTTTCAAAACATGGTGTTTATGGTGTTCTTTAAGAAGAAACATCATTTCTGGAGCAAATTATCTTTTAAACTTCTGTGATGTCAGAATTATTGTTATTATTTATTTTTCAGGGATGAGATTTTTCCGCTTTTTAGCGGATTTTCGCTTTTGTCATTCAAATTTCAGCCTTTTTATTAAAAACTCTGATTTTCTAAAAGTTTTGGGTTTCTCTAAAGTTATTATGCGAAATTTGAATCGCGGATTCAAGAAGTCGTTCTTTGACACGGTCGTTTTGCGCCGATATTCGCATTAATCCACACTGTATATTTTGCTCATGGGCTGCAATAGCGGCACAACTCATAAAAATCATGCTTTGAGATAAGTGGGGTTAAAGTTTTCATTGCTAAGGAAAATTCATAAGATATGCTTTAGTTTGCTTAAACGAAGATTACCTTCAAAGTGAATTATGAGTTGTTGAGTATTGCTGCTGAAAAGAATGTGTATTTTCCTATGCGTGTTTTTTTAGTTGTACCACTAATGCAGCCCCTGAGCGATTTAATTCGCATGAATTTGCCCTCTATCTTTTTTTTTCGGTAGTCACTGCTACGGATTACATGCAGTGACTACTATTTAGTTTTATAAATAGTGACTACTATTTTATTTTTATTTATTTATTTTTTGTTGTGATGATGGTTTACAAAATGTGAAAAAGGAAATAATTAGTCTGTTTTCTTTTTTAATATAATGTGAGATCTTGCCCATGATTTTAGAATAAAAAAATATTACATATTCATTTAAAAATTAAATGCAATTTTATTTTATTCTAATAGATTTTTGTTTTTGTAAACACAATGTTTTTGTAACTTTAAATTTAGTTAGTCACATGTATATTTGTTATTATTAAAAGCATCTTGCAGAAAGATCTTAGTGCTGGAGAGGTTTGTCGCAGAAAGCCCAGAAAAATTCTGCCGCAGGGAATGTGACATTGGATGAAAAGAATTTTTTCATTTTTAATTGTGTTTTCATATTTATTTTCCATTTTTTTCGTAGGCTACTATACATTTTTTTGTTGTAGAAGTAAGTCTTTTTTTAGTACAAAATGCAAATCAATATTTATTTGCTACGCAAAATATATGCAAGTGAAAATTGATTTACGTTTTCTGTATGGATATCTGTGCAAAGAAATCTATTAAAAGTGATATCTTTTATTTTATGCACTGCTCCTGTGTTAAAATTTTAATCAATCTTGAATTACATATTCTAATAATTGTAAATTATTAAATAGTTATAATTTTGTGTATTTTCATGCTGTTATTCTTTCCGTTTGATTTTAGGTTTTCTCCAGAGAAGGAAATATCCCAAATGTAATTTTAGCTGTAAGTTTATGTTTTTTTTTTATGTTGTATTAAATGGTTTTACCCAGTATTTAACTGTACATAAAAATCTAATGATTGTGTCGTGGGAGCTAATTCGAATCACTGGCAAAAATTCTGCCTCAGGGGGTATAAGCTGTGTTACTCTTCGTGGCGAATTGAATACTTTTACCACAACTGTAATTCCAGATAATAAACAAAAGCTACATTTTGCACAAATCTATTTATAAACTTGAAAACAATGTTCTCCCCAAAACGTTTTTAAAAGAGTGGCTCGCCCTTCCTGCCTTATTGATCCCCATAATTGGGTCCATTTTGTGATTCCCTTAAAAACATTGCCTTTCTATTTTATTTTTCAAATTTTATTTTAATTTTATTTTGTCTCCAGACTTATTTTGTTATTGTAATTATTTAACTTTAATTTTTAACCTCATTCCTTCATTTTAGTAAGATTTTTCTTATGTCCTCCATTTATATAGTTAAAATTCACATGATATTCGGCTCCAGAGATATTCACATAAAAATTTGAAGGTCTTAGCTATTTCAATTTTTTTTTCCCCTTACGAGATCATTCTCTTGATTTATGATTATTATATAAGGAATTTTGTTCTTGACATCCAATAAAGCAGTATTTAAAGAAAAATATAGTTAAGTAGTGCGATTGCAGCATGCAAAACAATATTCTTAATTGTAAAAGTTTTAATTTTCTTTATTTCACCTGTGTTTATAGTATCTTAACAAATTTTTTATTTATTTATTGTGAACTAAGTTATTCAAAGTAAAAAAGGTACAAATAAGGCTACATTTCCAGACATACTGCAGTTTTGGTTCGATAATCAATAGCCTTGGGTGGTAGAACACAAACAAAGAAACACAGACAAGAGAACAAGGAAAAGAGGCTTTAGACCAGTAGGGTTATGGAAGCAACCACAAAACAGACAAGAAATGAATAAATAGATAAAAAAGGGGAAACAAAATTTTTTTTCAAGAAATTTGAAGAGAGATTATTTACTAAATTATTAGAATTTTTCATGTTCTCTGTTTTCTTCACTATAACTTGTTTGTAATTTTTTTCTGTGTTTTGACACGAAATATGTCAGTTTATGTGGATTAATTTGTAGTCAAACTGTTATCATTATAACTGATATTAACTATTTATGTTCAACTTTTATTTATATAGTATATAGTTATATATTCATATAGTTACTCATGTAGAGCACAAAGTTGATTGTTTCATCACTGGAATGAATGCTTGTTTCAAATAATTTTTATTATAATTTTCAGGGACCCCCTGGTGTTGGTAAAACAACTACTATTTTATGTTTAGCTAAGATAATGCTTGGTCCCTGTTTTAAAGATGCAGTTATGGAGCTCAATGCTTCAAATGATAGGTAAATTTTTTTTAAATTTATTTTATCAGAATTTGATTGTGAACAGTAGGGAAGCGATTTTGTGCACCTTTTTAAAAAAAATGCATATCTTTTATGGGTGGTGTTTTTAATATTCATACGGAGTATCAGCGCACCTGGAAAGTCATGAATTTCAATATTTAACAAAATGAAATTGATGATTGTCATGAAATGTCATGATTTAACTATTTAAAAATAATAAAAAAATCATGAAAAGGCATGGATTTAGGTTGTGGCGATATCTAATTTTTTAAATTTAATTCTCCCCCCCCCCCCCCCNAAGATAATGCTTGGTCCCTGTTTTAAAGATGCAGTTATGGAGCTCAATGCTTCAAATGATAGGTACATTTCTTTAAAATTTATTTTATCAGAATTTGATTGTGAACAGTAGGGAAGCTATTTTGTGCACCTTTTTATAAAAAATGCATATCTTTCATGGGTGGTGTTTTTAATATTCATACGGGGTATCAGCGCACCTGGAAAGTCATGAATTTCAATATTTAACGAAATTTGTCATGAAATGTCATGATTTTAACTATTTAAAAAAAAAACAAATCATGAAATGTCATGGATTTAGGTTGCGGCGATATCTAATTTTTAAAATTTATTTCCCCCCCCCCCCCAATTTNCCCCCAATTTCATGGTGTTCCAAATATCTGAATTTGTAACAAAATCTCCACTCACAGTCATATTTTAAATATACAGTTATATATCAAATATAAAATGCTTAATGATTATGATTTTCTTTCAAAAATTATGATGTTCTTTCAAAAAATGAAAGAAAAGATATCATTTCTAGAGCGAATTATCTTCTGTAATTTCAGAATTTTTTATTTTATAAGGTTAAAATTCTATCTGAAGCAAGGCGGTCCTTGCAAATTTTTTTAAGTTCCAAAATGAGGACAGAAAAATCAGGAGTATTTCTTTCCCTTTCAATAAACAATTCTTTCTTTATCCTATTTTTTAAATTTAAAATCAATAAGTATGAAGATGCAGAATATTACAGTTTTGGTTATACCTATCATTTCAATTAATGTCATTATAATGCTTTTTAAAATTTATTGTTGTGTTTTTGTTGGAGAAAATAGTAGCTTCGTTAAGTCATGAAAAATTCTTGGAATTAGTCATGGAAAGTCATGAATTTGAAAATCTAAAATGTAGCAGATACCATGTACATATAAACAACACTCTCGTGCTCTTGACTTCCTGTTGGAAAGTAAGCAGCTTCTTATTACAGCTTATTCTACAAGGTGATATTTTCGAACAGATAATTTTGTTTTTAATAAAAGAAATAAACTACATGATTTCTGAGCTCAAATCTGCTGTATTTCAGAAGATAATGATGTTAAATAATTATGGTGAATTTGAAATAAAAAATTATTTTAGTTACTTATAGATGTATTGTTAAAAATGGTGATACGGTTGCTAGATTTAGAAAGAATTTGCTTTTTTCGCAGTCCTGATTTGACCTCTTTTTACTATTACTGTTTATTCTTGTTGAAACCCATGCACCACTATACGTTAGAATTAGTATATTTGAGCAGTGATATCAGGTTACAAATTATCATTTAGGTTTACATTTGCAAGTTGTATAGTGTAGACAAAGTAAGAAGTGTTTTATAACGATTCTTTTCTCAAATGACATCTTGGAATGACAGATCTTGAAATGGCGATTCTTTTCAAACAAAAATAATTAGTCAGGTAACTCATATACCAGGGTTCCCACGGTCCTTGAAAGTCCTTGAACTTTTTTTTGCTAAATTTAGGTCCTTGAAAGTGCTTGAAAAACGTCTTAGGTCCTTGAAAAACTTGATAGGTCCTTGAATTTGTCCGATACTGCCAGCGGCCCTTTTTATAAAACACCCGCGGATCTTTCTCGTTCTTTCTGTTTTGTTCCCGAGCTCTCTCACGTGGTTTTTAACGCCACCGTTTCTAACCGGGCCTAGCGTCTTGGTGTCTGCCAAGCGCGCGGAGCACAGCAGACAATCAATGCGTTCGGGGCGAGACTCCACTTCATCTTCTGTCGCATATGCTTAGATCTTCTTTTTTCTTATCGAAACTGGAATACTCTCGAATTTCGTAACAATATGTACCTTGTAGTTTTCAATAAATTTGCCGTTTTACCATCCGCACTTGTCCTTACGTTTGCGTCATTTCAAAACTTTATTGTAAAGCGTATTCGCAAAGGCACGGCTTCGTATTTGTGTTATGTAGTTTAGACTAGTTATGCCTGGGAAGTGCTATTTTAATCCCCAATGGATGGATAATCAAGCTTATAAAGAATGGATTTTATCGATGCCCGAAAAGAAGTTCAGAGCCAAGTGCCGATTATGCATGAAGGAGATCGATATCGCGAAAATGGAAGAATCTGCTCTGAAATCACACATGAAAGAAAGGTAAAACAAAAAAGCAGTCTCATGCCCTGAGTTCTCTTTTTCCAAAGACATCAACATCTAATTCATCTGGTGTAAATACTCCTTCAACATCGTGTGCCCCATGTGAAACAGAAACTTTAGTGGCCGAGGTAACATTGTCTTCTTATCTGGTCAAAAGGAATGTGCTTGATGCTGAAATTCTCTGGAGTCTGAAGTGCATCACTAGTAATTATTCATGTAACTCCTGTGAAGGGATTAGTAAATTGTTCTCCAAAATGTTTGCTGATAGCTGTATAGCGAGACAATTTTTTTGTAGTGCCACAAAGTGAGCCTATTTGGGCTCCTTTGGATTGGCACTATACTTCAAAGGGATTCTTATAAATGAGCTGAAGAATGTTGATTGCTACACTGTACTCTTTGATGAGACGTTAAATCAGTCTCTACAATCTAAGCAGATGGACATTATGGTAAGGAATTGATAATAAAGTTTGCACTAAGTATCTTACCTCCCAATTTATGGGTCATGGAACTGCAGAAAATATTTTGTCCTCTTTTTACAAATGCATGGATGATGGTTAAAAGCTCTCTAAAATACTTCAATTATCCATGGATGGACCCTATGTCAATTGGAAATTCTATTAGAAGCTTCAGTGTGAATTAAAAGAGAAATATTCCCACCAGGTCATATTCATTGGCAGTTGTGGATTACACATAACGAATAATGCTTTTAAACATGGTGAAAATGGGATATGTTCCTTCTAATTTTTATTTTCAGAAAGAATTGTTGCTGCATAACATTTAGAGAAGGTTGTGTAAATTATGGATGAATAATTTCAGAAACGATGTTTAATAGAGGAGAGGAGGGGGTTATGGAATAGTCATGGAATATGGAATACCTAAGATTTAGCTCTGTCTTTCATGCAGCCTTCACATGGAAATACACAGGATTAAAGGATTTCACCATTAACACCTCATTACCATTAGTTATAGATTGTGCTGAAAATGATTTTGTGAATTAATATGTAAAACCAGTAGGGTTGTTTTTAAAAAAATATAAATTTTAGTCCATAATACATATACTCTCTTCTCTCTATATAGGCAAAGCATTTAGGTATTATATTTGAAATTAATTATTGCCACAACAAGCATTGTTGCTTCTAGTAAAATAGAAGAGAATAATTTTTAAAATTGGTCTTAGATTAAGGTCCTTGAAAATTTTGTTGAGGTCCTTGAAAAGTCCTGGAAAGTCCTTGAATTTCAATCTCATCATAGAGTGGGAACCCTGTATACAAGGTACTCGAGATAGTTTCAAAACACAATGATCACCTTGTGAGAAAACACAATGATCACCCTAGTGTAGAAAACACCATCCAGACTTAAATTTTATTTAGTTTAAATAAAATTGAATGTTTTTTTAAAATTGGTTACAATAGAAGTGTGTTATTCTTAATTGGTCATTTAATTTTAAAAAATTATGCAGTCAAACCCCACTATAGTGAACCTTCAAGGGACTGAAATTTCGGTTCACTATAACCGGACTTCACTATATTGGTACTGCAGACACTTTTAATTAATTTTTCTAAGCTGCTCCCCTTTAGTATGCATTATTTAAATAAAATAAATACAAAAATAATTTAAAATAAAAATGTAGTAACAAAAAATGGGTTAACTTTTATTTTTACTCTTCATCTTGCATACAAAAAATTTGGGGGTGGCCTTTATTTAGGGATGGGAAACTGAGATAGAAGAATCAAACAAGAATCAAGATGCTTATGGCTACATTTCACTCAATAGATGGTTTTAAAAATATGTGTGTATTTTATGTAGAAATTTCAAAATTACCAAAAAATGAAGAAAAAAAACAGTTGAAGACAGAGAAAAGTTCATAATATCCAATTTCCTCTCTTCTTTTAGTTCACTATATCCACAAAAAATATTATATGTGTATAGTAAGACATGGGAACGAACATTTTGTTCACTATATGTTTGATTGTATTACATATTCAAAAAATTATATTAAATATAAATAGTATGTAAATTGATATCTTGATTTTTTTTCCATATAAAATTTTTAGGATTTTTCACTTAATGTCACTATTACCCCTAACTTAAATCTTCCTGGGAAAGAGGCTTAAGCCTGCTTTTCCAGCTTATTTTCAAATTTACCACCATCGATTCTGTAAAGTAAGACCAATTTTAAGAGGTTTAGTAATGTAGTGTGCCTGTTCTTTTTAATTTGCATACATAAATTAATATACCTAATTACACAAATCATTAAACTTGTAAATCATTAAACTTCTAGTAGTTGAATTTGAATTATTTTGATTTCTTTCTGATAATTATAAGATATTTTTATGTTTTAGAGGTATTGATGTAGTACGAAACAAAATAAAAATGTTTGCCCAACAAAAAGTAACACTTCCAAAAGGAAAACACAAAATTATCATATTGGATGAAGCAGACAGGTAGGTTATGCTTTTTTTAAAATTAAATTTAAGTTATTTATACGAAACAACACAGGGACGATATTTTGAACCAATAAAATTTTTTTAATTAAATTTGTTGAAGAATTTTGAAAGATAGAGAAATATATCTATAGACCCTGTGACAGAATTTTTTCGAACTATCTGCGACAAAACTCTCTAGCCTACTATCTTCATTGAAATATATCGAGATATTTAAAATCCACATGGAAATCAATATCCATAACTGGCGAAAATACAATTGAATAATTGCATCAATGTACAATGCTACAGCATAAATTGAGCGAGTCTAAAGGTGATTATCTAAATGCATGATTCAAATATTACGTGTAAATTTTAGAAATGAAAAGTAATTGTTTTTTCTTTTCAAAGGAAACTGCAAAAACTCTCTAACATTTAGCGCCGATGTCCCTGTGTTGCTGCGATTCTGCCGCAGGATATATATATATGTTTATTTAAATATCTTTTTGCTTTAATGTTACAGATAGAAATTTCTATTATGAATTAATAGTCTAAAACATTTTGAAGTGTTATAGTAAATACTATACTTAATATCTCACGGAAAACATTTGTAAAACATGTTTCAATTAATCCTTTGCGGCTGTGGTGCTCATTTCACTTTTATTTCTTAAAAATTAAGATACTTTGCTAGATTACTGAAAAAGAAGTTGCAAACGGTGGTTCATCTATAAAATCTAATTCTAGAAGTTTTATTCAGAAGTGATCTAAGTAATTCTAAAAATTCAATTAAGAGGAAATCAATGCAATTCTAATTCAACAGTCAAATCTAAGAATATTTAAAGTATTTAATAAAAGAAAAGAAAGTGTTTACATTTCAATTTAAAGCTCAACAGCTACATAAAATTCTACAAATCGACTGACTATTAAAATTCAGTTCTTTTTTTGTTTTTGAGCAGTGTGCATGCGTGTCGTTACTTCTACGTTCAACCAGAGTGAGAAAGAGAAAAAATGTTAAGGAAAATTAATTTATACATTGTTTAATCTTCTATACATTGTTTAATCTTTTTGCTTTGATAATTTTTGTAAAGCTATTTTTATTTTAATAAATATATACATTTATTTATTTTTTTAAAAGTAAAATATTAAAGATATTCTTAAGTTGTTTGTTTTTCTTTTAACACAGCATGACAGAAGGTGCTCAGCAGGCTTTAAGAAGAACAATGGAGATATATTCTAAAACCACTCGATTTGCCTTAGCTTGTAATGCTTCAGACAAAATCATTGGTATATTTTCTCTTGATTTATTTCACTGCTTGAATCTTTTCCTTCTAATTAAAATAGTTAGCAACTCTCCTCTCATCATTATAATATAAATAGATTGAACTCTTTAGTTTATGATTCTTTTTTCACTTTGTTTCTTTTCCCTAAAACATTTCATTCAAAATATTTGTAAAACCATTTTTGTGTTTCTGTATGCATTTCTAGGTTGACTTTTTTTTCTATTATCTCAATGCAGCTCTGTGAGCAATGCCTCAGTAAGTCTTTTTATTATGGACCCAGCTTGAAAAATATGTGTTTAAGAGTACACCATGACTAATTTAAAAGAAAAGAAAAAAGTTAGTTCAGGCAAGTCTAGAGTAAGCCCATGCTTAGTGTTTTTTAAAAGGTGCTTGTTTTTGTTTTTTAAAAGCCTCTAAAGATGCTTTTTACATTGGGTATTTTTAAAAAGTGCTTGATACTCCCTTTTTGAAAACGAGATTTTTTTTCTTTATTGTGTCAATTTTTGGCACATATTATAAAAAAGAGTGGTTTTCACATTGGTTAAACACGTGGTTTCAACAATTTCACAATCCATTTCGGCCTACGGTGGTCCATGGCATATGAAAGCGGCGATTATTTTTAATTGTTTTATGAAATACTTGCAAGTCCTCGTGTGTAACTCTGCTGCATTTTGCTACATATTCTCAATTTTGGACTTCATTTTTCACTCTGTGAAATCGAACCGAAAAATCTCTCTAACTTTTTATGGTGGCTAATATAATCAAGAAAAGAGTTCTCTGTCAGAAACTAGCTATTTTATCATGATCATGTAAAGTATTTGAAAATTATTTTGCATTTTGTTAATGTATAGAGTGAATAAAAGTATTTTTTTAAGTGCTTAAAAGATGCTTGTTTTTTATTTGAAGCCACGAAGTTTCAGTTACTGAAATTTTTTTCTTCCAAGTATCAGAATGCAAACAAATTATTAGAAGAGAGCTTCTCTATTCCGAAATCCTAAGTTCTCTTCTCGTAATTTATTTTTATATTGAAGTTTTTTTTTAAAAAAATTTCAGTATTTAAAACTTTATGGCTTACTCTAAGTTTGTCTGAACTCACTTTTTCTATGTTTTAAATTAGGTATGGGGGGGGGAAGCAGAATTTTGGACGAAAAGTTTCTCCTGTAGTATGGTGTCCTCTTAAGAAAATGCGCTCTTTCAATGTTCAACTCAAGTTTACTAACTGAGGAATTTCTTTACTCTTTTAAACACTAAGCAGAATTCTTATGATTTTGGTTATATTACAGCTTTTCATTCATTTCTTCATATTCAGTACTCTAGATGACAAAGTGGTTTTAAAAAGTCTCATTTTCTTACAATGTCATTTTGGAACCACTATTTTAAATTTATGGAACCCGTGACAACCTTGTAAAAACTGTTTACTTTTAATATCTTTTCAAAGAAGATTAATTCCAAAAATGTACTTAGTGATGGACAAAATCACATTATGAATTTATTGGGATCCATTAGTGTGCTTTTTAAAAAAAGAACAATTTTCACTAGAGAAGTTGAAAAACTGTATCAATTGGTAATTGCATTTTCTACATATTTTAAACATTTTAAGATGTGTCCAGAATTGAAAGTCCATGAGCAAATTGCACCATTTTAAACATGCAGAAAGGAGACAAGTTAACATTAATTAATAAGAAACATTCTCAAAATATTGAATTAGTTTGTTGTAAATCCTTCCCACAGATTTAAATAAAATTATATTACTCAATTAGTACATGTAACTTTTTATAAGTGATATCAAGTTCGCTGTATGAAATATAACTCTTAAAAAAATTATTTCTTTTATTTAAATAAGGCAAAATCCATTATTTGTTTATTAAAAGATTGATGACTTTGGGAAAGTGAGATAGATCATTAAAAATAGTTTTTTTTTTCGAAATAGATTTTAAAAAATAAGAGGAGAGATTATTTTACAGTTAAAGTAATAATTATATATTGTATATTATGGTTACATTTGAGGTGTATTGGAGAATTTAATCTGATGTGAAACATTTTGAAACATACTTGCATCCTTGTTTTTAAGTAAATTATTTAACCACTAATAAGTTAGAAGAAATTTTTAAAAAAATAATAAAATTTTTTTTTTTAAAAGATCTAAATCTTTTTCTCACTTAGAATTTCTCCATTTTAAATTGTAAGTTTTTTTAAAAAATTAATTGTAATAAATTTAAAAACTGTAATTTTTTGTAGTTTTTAATTATACTTTCATTGAAAGAAAGCAAGCTGCTTATTGATAATTCAGGATCACATTTTTCTCTTCTGTGTATGGAATTTTAAGATGATATGGATTTATCGATACTTAACAGTTACAAGGCTCGTGAAGCCAAGCTAACCAACCTGTAGAACCAACTCTGTTCACACAGGTCATCAGCTACTGATAAAACATAAGACGTTAACAAGACGATCTAATTTGTAACACATCTAAAAGTGTTAAGATGTAATTATAAATGCTTATCACTTGCAAGACCCATGAAGCCAAGCTAACCAACTAGTAGAACCAACTCCAAATTCTTGTTCGCACAGGTCATCGGCTACTGATAAAACATAAGACGTTAACAAGACGATCTAATTTCTAATACATCTAAGAAATAATATACGTAATGTTGGGTTCATTGTTGTCCTGATATTCCTAACTTTCCTGATAAAAATATTTTGCTCTGATTTTTTGCATTTTGTTCTGATAATTAATTTTGCCGATATTTGACATGGTCATAGCTGTCAACTCTACTGGATTTTCCAGTAGGGCTACTGGTTTTAATTAAAATTCATCTGATTTTTTTATATTTTAGAAAATTCCCTAAAATTGAGTAAGTTTCCTAAAAAAAAAATCCCTGTTGAAATAGAATTTTTGTATAGATTATTGCTTCAATATTAAAATAAGTATTACCAATACATAATGACACAAACCTCATTTATAGAAATCAGTTCCAAACTTTTTTTGTTCTAAAATGATCCATTTATTTTTATACAGAACTTTCTTTTTAAATAAATTAAAGGAATCTTTTAACTATCTTTGATGAATTAAATACCTATTAATATTTAAAATTATGAGTAAACTTAATACATAACATTTCAAGTTTGTTTACTGTCAATCATAGCTTGAAAATATTGCAGTTTTTCTATTTTGATGACTAGTAAAATTCCCTATTGTGTATTTGGTACATTGTGCAACAATTATCATGAAATTTATATTATTTCGTAAAATCTACTGGATTTCTTTCCTATCCATGTTGGCAGCTATGCATGGTCTTCATAGCCTGTACGTAACCAATAATCTATAGTTGTGCTTGCATAAATTAAATTGTTTGTTTCCTTAAGAGATATGTGTTTCCTTGTAGAACCAATTCAATCGAGATGTGCTATGGTACGATTTGGAAAACTTTCTGATCTTCAAATACTCACAAAAATTATGGAAGTGTGTAAGAGAGAAAATGTAAGCTATACTGATGATGGTCTGGAGGCTCTTATATTTACTGCACAAGGTGACATGAGACAGGTTGTTACTTCTTATATAAGTAGTTACTCCATTTTTGTATTAAGAGCCCTTAAGTTTCTTGCTTTTTGTTGGTAGCAGAAATAAGCTGTAGATGTTTTAAAATACTATGGAACTGATATGTATGAACATGAAATCTTTTTTTTCTCTACAGAGTTCACCCACGGTTCAAATTAGTTCTAACAACAGTCGTGGCAACTGCTCCAGTTTACCCAGAGTTTCCCCGTTTTTAAATGTTATTACCGCTCGCTCCTCTAAACTCCAAAATAATCCTTTTTTTAAAAATTATTATTTTTTATTTTTTGAAAATGTTTCGATTTGGTGTCAACTAAGAACTATGGATCAATTATGAGGTGCTCCCAACCTTAATTCATGGTGCATAACATTTTTATAAAAGTGCTTAAAGGTGACTATTTTCGATTTTAATTTTTTTAAAACCTTTAAAGGTGCTTTTTTTTCATGGGGAGTTTTTAAAAAGTGCTAACTTTTTCCCTTTCGAAAATGAGATTTTTTTTTCTTTAGCGTTTCAATTTTTGCAATGTATTATGCAAGAGTGTTGCTTTTCCCATTGTTCTATTTAACGTTTTCACAATTCAGTCATCCACAATCTATTTCAGCATCCCGTCGGTGCATGTCATATGAAAGCAATTATTTTACATGTTTGATTAAATTCTTGGAGGTGCATGTACTGAACTGGGTTCGGTAAGATTCTTGCTCTCTCTTGCAACTATGCTGCATTTTGCAAGATATTCTCAATTTCAGGTTTCATTTTCTATCCTCCGAAATCGAGCCGAAAAATCTTTCAATGTTTTTGTGGTGGCTAATATAATCAAGAAAAGAGTTCTTCATATCAGAAACTAATTATTTTATCATGATCATGTAAAGTCTTGAAAAAGTATTTTACATTTTGTTGATGTATATGGTGCTTAAAAAATTTTTACTGCTTAAAAAGTACTTAATAGGTGCTTATTTTTTGTTGAAAGATTTGGCTACGTACCCTGTAAATAGACTTTCCATAGAAAAGAGCTTTCCCTTTTGTAAACTGTAGGTGTTCCACTCGCATGAACTAAATGCCCATACTTGCACAGAAAAAAGAAAAAAAATCCTGTGAATTAATTTGCAACAGTGCCAAAATAGCTCTAATCATGTGATGTGACATCATAGCATGTGTTAACATAAGTTCGTTCAATGTTTACATTTTGAGATTCTCAATTTTTGGCATGTTTTTGCTTGTAAGTTAAAAAAAAACGTATATTGTTTTAAGATTCCACTGAATTGAAGCCATAAGCAAATGTCCCAAGAGGAATGTACTAAACAATGGCTTGTTCTTAAACAATCGAATAAATTAGAAAATTAAATTTATTGCATGATGAGTGATTGCACATGACTGATTCAATGATTACAAATGCCATTGCCATTAAGACAACGCCAGTTACTATTGAATTAATAGTGCTTATATATTTATTAGTTTTTTGTTTTGATTTAGTATTTTTGAAAAGTTTTTTTTTTTTTTTGTGAACTAGTATCTATGGTGCAGAATATCTGTGTATTGCAGAGATACTAATAAATGTATTAATAACTAAATTTTAACATTTAATTTTATTATCAAATATGGTATAAGCTCAGATAAATTAAGTTTACTTTTTATTTAATTTGCATTAAATATTAATATTAGTATCAAGTTTATCTTTAATGATTATGATTTATTAATTAAGTTGGATTATTTATTATGATTTCACCTCTGCAGTATTTTTAAATACATTTAGGAAAATAGCATTTTATTTTAAATAAATGTATACTTTCTTATTGATAATTCATTGATATTTTAAATAAAATGTTTTAACTATAATATTATTTAAATATTTTTTATTCTTTCCTCTTATTCATTTTTGCATCTTTCACATCATGCAGGTACAAATAGGGTAGATAATTAACAAAAATTAATCAAGGATTTTTCATAGAATCGTCTGCTATTAACTTCCAAATTGCAGAATTAAAACAAAAATTATTTTTTGTGTTTAAGTGATACAAAATGTTATTATTTTTAAAAATATTTTTTTTCTCTGTTATATGATATATTTCTTTAGTCTTTGCTACCATTTTTTCTCTGTATTGAGGTGTTATATTTTTTAATTGAAATTAAATATACAATGTAACATATAAATTATTAATGTTAAATTTTTTGTGGTTCACTGTATATTTAACAGAGTTCCCAAGGTACTTGAAAGTCCTTGATTATCGTGATAGTGTACTTAAAAAGTATTTGATTTTCTTGAAATTAAAACAACTCATACTTACAAAAAACCGCAAAAAAAATTAATTGATTAATTAAGTGGAATTGATAGAAATTCAAATCATTATTCTTCCTTCCTTATCCATTTGCCATTTTCTGAAGGATAGTTAAAGTCAGCCAAGTGAGAATTCAAGACCCATAGCCTTATTTACTTCTCCTGTGATTGTGATTGGATGGCAAAATACAAGTAGGGGGTGGGTGAAATCAATTGTCAAAAAAAATATATTGAAGGAAACCATGTCTAGTATTAACCAATGGTATCGTGCATTAATTAATTGCAATTTTTATTGCTTGAAAAAGAGGGAAAGTGAATTCTAATTTTTCCGATTTTTTTACTGGTAATAAGTAAAATTTAGTTCTTCAAATTTCGTGAATTATGAATAAGCATTATTTGCATTAAAGTGATTAATTATTTACCCATCAGAATTCATTTAAACTACGAATCGCGATTCGCATGAAAGTGATTAACAAATAACGCACCGTGATTCATATTAACTCGTTTTATAGATCACATTGTAATTCATATTAAAGTAATTTCTCAAACACATCGCAAATGTGACTTCCGAACCAATTTAAGTTATCTCCAAATCATGCATTGCAATTCTCATTCAAGTGGTTTCATTCAATCACACATTGGGAATCGTATTAGAAGCATTTAAGAATTATGCATTGCAACTTCCATAAGAGAGCTTTAAGAATCACTATTCACAATTCTCATCAGAATGATTTATAAATTACTTATTGCTATTCTCAATTAAGTGCTTATAGTATCACAAATTGTAATTTGCAATATAGTGTTTGCCAATATATGCATCGCTATTCACTGGAAAATTATTTAGCAAATTATTATCATATTAAAGTGGTTAACAAATCATCCAGCAGGATTCAGATTAAAATCATTTATGTAACACTCATCCCGATTTATGACTTCTTAGTTTGTGCGTTTTTCAAATTGTATCATTTGCTATTCATATTGTCCCTATTTTAGAAAGATACTTCATAGTTTAATTTGCAAATCGCTCATTGTGATACATGATTTATTACAATTTCCTAGACTGACTTCAAGTTTCATATAATTTCGATTCACTCACAGCATATCATGAGTCATATACTTGCGACTTAAAAATTATGCTTAAGTAGCATTATTATTCTAAAGTAACAAAATCAGTATTTTATTCTTAAAATTGAAACAGATATGCTAAATTATATATATCTTGATATTTTATCTATTAATATACATTTTCGATAACCTCAAATTTGATTTAACAAATTAAAAAGAAAATTCTTTGTATTTTATTAACTGCAGTTGCATAACAAATTCTATCAGTTATTTATTTATTATGCTTGTTTTATGTAATATTATTTTTCAATTCTAACTAGCTTCATTTATTTCATGAAAAGTTTCACTGTCTGATGCCAGTTAATAAAAGTTGAGAGGTATCCAATGTCAATTGGAAATTTTTTTTATAGTCTTCAAAGTGATTTAAAACAGATATATTCTGATCTATATGTAACTATGAGACATTTGCATTGGTAGCTGTTGGCTGTGCATATTAAACAATCTACCATTATTAAACGATGTAAACTTGATTAATTTAATGAAGACATTTTTTTTTTGTTAATTAAGTATCGTGCTTTAAAAATATACTATTTCTGCTTTTGTGTAATTATAAAATCTGGTTGGCATGTATTTTAACATACTAACTATATTACTGTATAGGACCTTTAAAAATTTGATTTTCGGTCCTTAAAAGTCCTTGAATTTTTTAAAAAGAATTGGGTCAGAACCCTGTTAAGTGAAATTTATTCTATCTCTGGATGTAAAAAGAAAAAAAAAAGAGAAAAAAACTAATTTTATTTATGTAGCTGTTGATTAAGAATTAATTATATCTGTAATATCTATAAATATCACAAGTAGAAAAATGTTGGAAAAAAATTTATTTTTTCATTGTGCTAATTATAATTTTAATTCATTGTTTTAGGCTTTGAATAATTTGCAGTCTACCTTTTCTGGGTTTGGTCATGTTAGTAGTGAATATGTATTTAAGGTAAGGCAATATTTTGCCTATTTTTTATTTTTGTTTGTAAAGTGATTATTTTTACTACATTTTATATTAACCTAAATGTTTTGTAAAAATTCTAATGTTAGATGCAATAATATTTTATTTTATAACCGTCGTTAAGCAGCTGACCAAATTTTCAGTTTACGGCTACCAATGTTCAACTCCATACCTTTGTCATTTTGAACCTAATCCAGAAGACAAGGGAACTCCTGGATCAAATATTCTGAGAAAGTCCTTTGTGGAGGACTTATTGATGGAACTAACCTGCAGCTGCATTACATGGAATGGAAAACCTGGTTAGCCTGATGGCAAGGTGACTCTAACCCATGATTAGAGGCTGCAAGTTTGTCACGGGGAAAAAAACCGAAATTCTCGGGAAATTTTAAAAATTACGCAGATTCTAAACATAAAAATTTTTTATATATAAATGGTGCAAAAGACAGAAATTGCGCAAATAATTAAAAAATACGTAACAAAAGTATTTCTTTTAATTTCAAGTAATATTAATATTTTTATTTAAATGAACATAGTTTTGGTACAAAGTATTGTACATTGTTAGATTATTCTCATTTATGCTTCGTCTTTCATCACTTAATACATTTTTATACTTTCTATACGATCTTTCTGCGCCCTATTTAAGAAATCGCAAGAAGCTGTCCAGGAAAAATTGTCTGGATATGTAGAAAGGCAGTAGAAATTTCATTGCCCAGTGCAATAGCTTGTGTTACAATTTTTATGTCAAAGATATGATTTATAACATTTTCCTTTTTTTGTGATTCCAATTTCTATTGTACTCTTATTGACTTCAGGGAGGTAATCCTATCAGTCTATTACCCTCTCTAAGTGTAGAAAGACCACCTTACTTAACAAGATTGGGATTATCTCTGAACTATTTTCTTGTCAATTTGCTATTGATTCACTCCCCTAAATATCTAATCAATTTTACATATTCAATTTAAAGCTTCAGAAAAGTAAAAAATTCTGTTAAATAAAAATAATAAGTGAAAAAGAATTCAAATTGTAAGCAATTTTCGTGCAAATCAAAACATTGAGAAATTTGCGGATTTTAGAAAAAAAAGAGGGCAATTTTGCAGAAATTTGTGCGGCGACAGACCTGCAGCCCTACCCATGATCCATCTACCACTGAGGATATTTCTCGTCAGCACTGTGGTCAGTGCAAGATGTGGAATTCAGATCAACCAGTCATTGCCAGGATTCAGACCCAGTTCACCTCATTGGGAAGTGAGCGCTCTATCCCCTGAGCAACCACGGCTCTGATGCAATAATATTAACTCAACTTAGCTATATATGTTCTCTTAAACTATAAATGAAGAAATACTAAAGAAATGTTTAAATTCTTTAAATGACCACTTAAGTTGTTTCATTCCTGAAACCATCCAAAAGATTAAACCGTCACAATTTTTTTTTGCGCTTTACTAAAATGCTGAAGTTCCGTGATATCCAATTTTTTTCATATTGTAGGAAAAATCGAATTAAAGTCTAACAAAAATCAGATGCCAGGTGAAAATCAAAATGAAACGGAATATTTTCAATAACCACTGCATCAACTATTAGAAAAAGTATACTTTTGTTGTGTTATATAATTATTGGATTTTTATTGAAATCTGTAGAATTTGATTAAAATTGAAAACTATTAGTCTATTTAAAATGTTTTAAACTTGCAAATAGGTGGCCAACCACTTTTTTCATTTATAAAACGTAAATAATTCTGGACTTTCTTTTTTTTTTTTGCACATTTGCGTTCTAACCATGTGACATACTTGGATGTTATCCTTTTAAATAGTTGAATGTAGGTAACATATTAGAACAAACTCTGAACAATATGTTCTATTTTTTTAATTCCTTTAATATTAAATTCATGCAATCACCTATTTAATTAATGTTATTCTTTTTTTTCATGAGCGTGAATTTTGGTTGAATTAAATAACATAATTACTAAATTTTTTAAAAAAATTATGTAATTGGTGTGTCACATAACAAAATATATAAACTTGGTTGATAATATTAATAACCATAAACTGTAATTTATTATAACTACATAATTTATAATAACTTTACAATACCAAGTGGAAGAAATAGAAGAAACCATGCAAAAAGTATTTCTAAATAGATATTTTTAATACATATTTTATTTTTGCATACTTTATAAACTTATTAAATGGTTATAATTTATAAAATATAACTTAAAATTTTAATTCATAAATAAATTTACAATTAAAGAGAATTGAAGTTTTACAGCCTTTTTAATGTTATGAATAGAAAGAAATAAAAAATATGAATATTTATTTATATGAGTATTATTTATTTATAATTTTTATATGAATATTATTTATTTATTTATATATTTTTTTTCCTTATGGCAGAATATTTAGAAAATAAAAAATAAGAATAAATGAAATCCGAATAAAAAATTTATTTTATTGTAGCACAAATTTCAAAATTCTTTTTGAAACTACAATAAATTATATAAAACTAGTTTTTTTTTTTTTTAATAATTCATACACTTTTGTACATCATTAAATTTTTTTTATTTTAAAATAATATTGTAATATTTATCACTAAACAATTGTGTTGATCATTGTTAGTTTCTTCTGGTTTTTTCCACTTTCTCTTGGATTTTTTTCTGGAAGAAATAAGTTTCTTCCAGACAAAATGCGAACCCTGATTTTGGTACACTATGTACATGCACTATATATCGAAAATATAGACACCCGAGTTGAAATTTTTTTTTTTTTGGTGTCAGTTACAAACAAATGCTAGTACACTTAAGTATCAGTTACAAAATCTAATACTTTTAGAATCAGGTTCATGCCAATCTTAATTTATTGGAGTAATAAATTATTCGATAAAAATTCCTTTTTTCTTTCTTTTTTTTTATTTAAATCTAATACTAGGTTACAAATATAAATTATAATCAAATTAAATAACAAAATACTGTGAAGTTCGTTAAGCAGAAATAAAAAATGTGTTGCAATACTCTTGTTGCAAAGTTTAAAAAGAAAAATTGCATCAACCCTAGTTTTGCCACTAGTACATTTTAGCAGTAGCAAACTTTGCTAATGATTTTAAAAAATGAAATCATACCCTGGGCACCTGTAACCTCTAATAGGGAATTTCAAAATTCCACAATTTTTGATGGCTAAATGTGAACATACCTTTATTTTCTTTTTTTCTTAAATATTTTCTTTATTTCTGCATGTTGTAGGATATTTATGGACAAACAATTATGATAAAAATAATTTATCATTATTGTTCATTTATTTTTTGCTAATTTATTTTTCTGAATGTTGTGCTGAAGTGTTAGGGATAAAATAATAATAAAAAAAGAAGAATTTCTTGTAATTGCCCAATACAAACGTTGATAAGACAAAAAAATTTATAGTTCTTAGCACAATCGGGAAACTTCTCTGATATATTAGCATATACAATGAAGCATGGGGAAGTTTATCTATCTTATTTAGGAAATCTTTATTGATTGATTACAGGTTTGTGATGAGCCCCATCCTCTGCTTATAAAAAATATGCTTCAGTTTTGCGTTGAATCCAAATTGGAGGAAGCCTACAAAATACTTCTTCATCTTTGGAAACTTGGTTATGCATGTGAAGATATAATTACAAACATTTTCAGGGTTTGCAAAACCCATGATATGCCTGAATTCTTGAAGCTTCAATTTATCAAAGTAAGTATTATTAATATTACACATTATTTTGTTAAAAAAAATGTCATCTAAAAATATAAAGCTGTTTTGAACTGACTGACTTTTTACCAAATTATATGCAATGAAGCATGCAAGTAAAATAAAGATAAATTTATTAAGGAGTAAAAGATAAATAATAATAAAAAAAGTAAATATTAAAAACATATTAATCTAAACGAGAGAAAAAAACTTATTCTTCCATTACATTGAATTAAAATTATCAGACTATCTTAACGAAAAAAACTTTTTTTCCCCTGCTCTTTCGTTTATCAGAACTATTAGTGAATTTAATTTGATCCCATCATTAATGTTTCTGTATATTAAGGATATTTTCTCAGATTATATTTTTTCATGTTAAATGTTTTTTTTAAAAAGAGCATTAAAGGTTACTTTAATACAAAAAAAGCTCTGCTGCCTGCTTGCTTTTCACCAACCTTCAAGAATCGCTTAATGATTCGAATGCTTAGAACTACCCGTTGTGGTATTTGTCTTCTTCAGGTAAACACTCCTCAGAAGCTGAACCCTTCTCAAACTTAACCATGTTTACTTATTTAACTTTTCATTCACCCGAACTAGGTTCTCTAAAGGGAACCATGGTTAGTATTATCTTTTTCTACATAGTTTTCCATACCTGCAAAGGCTTTCTTTCACCTCCTACATTGAAGTACTCATATATATCACATCCACGTGGCAGAATCGCAGGGAATGTTACATAGTTATTGCAGAATGATTTTTCTTTTGAAAAGTGACAAGAATTACTTTTTTCATAAATTTACAAAAGTTAAAGTAATGTTTGAATCATGCATTTAGGTAATCACTTTTGACGCACTCAATTTAGTATGATAAATCGGTGTAATGTTCCGATTGTATTTTCGGCAGTTATTAATTTTCACCTGGATTTTAAATATCCCAATATATTTTAAACAATATGGAAAATAGTCCATTTGAGTATATACTTTTTAATGCAATGATTTTATCAAATGTTTGGCAGTTATTGCTATTGATTTCTCCATAGTTTTTAAATAGGATATTATTTATTGCCACCACCTAATCTCGAAACAAAACATACATTTGAGGAGTCCGATTCGGATGATTTCATCATCAATCTTTTTTTCGGCAATTACTACTTTTGAGTTTCTGATTTTTTATTGTGATGATTATTTACAAAATGCAAAGGAGAAAATAATTTGTGCGTCCCCCCCCCCAACAAAATGCAAAAATATCACCCATAATATTAGAATAAAAAATTATTAGATGTTCAATTAAAAAAAAGAAAATTATATAGTATTTTTGTTATTATTGAGAGTATATTGCAAAAAGATATTTGAGTGGAGTTTTGTTGCAAATAGCTCGAAAAAATTCTACAGGGAATGACATGTACATACATTCTATTGTAGGTATTGAAAAAATAATTTAATAGTGCAACTGAAAAACACATTCCACTCTTCTTTAGAAACTAGTTCCATCTACTACCGGGTAGAACAACCACTAACAGAGAGAAAAGTTCCAAGATTACTGGGGATAAAAGAAGCAATTTTTTGACCCCCCTTTAATAGTGGGTCGAACAAAAACTGACTCTTTATTACTCTGCCATTTCGAGGCTACCCATGAAAACTTTATTCGTAACCCAATCAGTTATTTAGTAAAAATTGTATTTATAACCACGCTAAGTATTATATCATTCTTGCAAAACAATATGAAAATCATATAATTTTCTATAAAACAACTAAACAAGATCTTGTTGTAGTTGTAGAAACTATATGATATAATTCTAATTATATTTATATTGCACAGATGTTAATATATTTATTTTTAAATTTTTCTATGTATTTCAATATAGATTGAAAAATATTTTTTTAAAAAGAATTTTGGGGAAAGACAGTTGAATAAAGAATAATATAAGATTGAGCTTTTGGAGACATCTGGAGAACTTACATTTTTGAGATCATTTATTAATATAGCTTATGTTAAATGTTGGATGATTTTAAATTAATTGATGGTATATTAAATGGAAAGAATCTTACATTTAAGAATTATATTTTTTAATTATTCAATAAATATAAGTTTAATTTAATTGAAACAAAACTACATTGGTGGAAATTCTCAAATTTTTTTATGATAGGATGAAAATTATATTTTATTATCAATGCTGATTTGCTGTTCTTCATGTTAAACTTGTGATTTTGAATACAATTCAGAAGATTAAGTGACTCCTAGATTTAACATTAGGTAACCTTGCCGTCAAAAGCTTTTTCAATTAAACTATCCTAGCCTGTATTTGCTTCATCCATGTGAAGAAAAGGGAAGAAAAAAAAAAATTTACGATGAGCCTGATACTAACAGACTGGTTAGAAATTGAACCTATTGAGCCAAAGAGTTAAAACCCTGTTTCCAAGAAGAAAAAAAATTTTAATTTATTGATGATCATATGTATTAATGTGTATTAATTTATATACTTGAAATATAATCTAATGTTCTTAAATGCAGAGCTAATTTCAGCCAGGGTTATCAGCATAGGGCACACCAAGACTGCAGAATCGGGGCTTCCCTTCATTATGTAAAAAAAAGTGACCCAGCCCCTTCTAAAATTAGAATTTTCCAATAAATATTTGTGTAATAAAACGATGTGAAGTTCAATGATGTGATTCTTCTGCTAAATTACATTCTAATTACCATGTAAAATTGCATTGTATACCTTACAATTCTAAATGTTTTCGTTTATTATTAAATTTCCTAAGAAATTCTCGATATGGCGAAATAGACAAATAAAATTAACATTAAGGAGTCTAAGCTTTGGATCGCTATCCTAACCATACTATTGGAACCTTATTTCCCCGATTCACAACTCCCCATACTTTGTAGATCAGAAATCTGAATCCATTGACGAAAAGGTATGTAAATGCAGAGAAAGTACTTTTTTGTTTATTTCGTAACTCGAAACGTCGTACGTGTTGGTTTTGTTTTATTTCATAAATTAATTCGATTTTTGAGGTCAAACCCTCAAACCATTAAGATTGAGCCTTAAGGCCTGGTTTCTTAGGACAGGATGCCGTAAGCTGGAAATCAGCGCTAACCTCTGATTGATCCATTTGTGAGTTTGATAGTATACGTCATCGAACGCTCATCTTGAACTACGATTGCCGTCCAACTCAACTGCAGTTGGATTACAGCGTGACGTTAACCACAGAAGCAATGGCGGACAACATCCAACAGCACACTGAAATCAGTCAAGATTTTGATTTTGACATTAAACATATCCTCTTCATTAAACATAGCACTCTTCATTTAGCTCAGCTATAATGTGTTTTTTCTTGGACGAAGTCATTATTTGGTCTCTAAAACACTGGTCGACAATAAAAAAATCATTGCAAATTCAAAATAAATATTTGTTTACGTTATTAACGCATGCGCAATGAGAGATAATGTCTGCGTTGGACCGACTGCTCAAGCTGAGCTAACAAAAAAGTATTTTTTTGGCGTGCTCTAACGTCAACTCTCCGCTGACGCCCAGATAAGGCGCTAGTTCTAAGAAACCAGGTCTTGAGCTAACAAACCAGTATTTTGTTGGCGTCAGCGGGACGTTGACGTCCCGCTGACGCTCAGATAAGGCGCTTGTCCTAAGAAACCAGACCTTTAGAACGTAGAGATCCGATTATTAGATAAAAAAATGATTCAGAGTACTCTTTATTTTTTGCACTGTATATTATTTTATTTAATTCCTGCATTATTTTAAAAATTATATTATACTTAAAGCTCCAAAATTAAAAAAATAAATAAATAAAGGATTTTTTTCTTATTATTAAATCATTACTACAAACACTTAAACACACATTTACTATTTTACATGTACGTATTTATGCAGCCCATTTGCCATATTTTTATTACTTTTCATTCACAAAATTTCTTTTAAATTAATTAACTCTTATTTTAACTCATTATGTTAAATCCAGAGGTGATTGTGCTCCGGAAGATTCCGGAAATCCTAGGTCCAAAAGTTTCAAGAAATCATAGATCACATTTATGTATAAAAATTCTTGTATATTTTATTTAAAAACATTAGTACTAGAATTTATACTTTGCATCTTTCATTTGTAAATATTTTTTCTGGTAGAATACTAAATGTGATTTGAAGATAAAAGTAAACTTATACATAATTATTCATTTAAAGTATGCTGTATATAATTTATTTAGAATTTAATGTTCTGAAAATATCAATGATTTAAATTTATAAAGACATTATTTTTTTTAAATGCTTCATTAATGATTTTACTCAAGAAATTTTCAGGATTTTTGAGTTGCACTCACAATTACCCCTGTAATTATTATTATTATTTTTTGCAAATTGGCAATGCCTTTTTAAACCTATTCACCCTGCTGTTATTTCATCTAGACTTAGCTCTGCCTAAATGTGCTAATTCATAACTATGTAAAAATATCTTTTACTTGTTCTTTGGACTTACGATTAAATTTTCTTAGTTTTTACCCAATATTAAGTATTGTCAGCAATCAATATGCCTACTTCCTTTGTACAAAATAAACAATTTTCAATTTCTGCTGGCAGTTCGAAGTTAGAAGATTTCACTTTAATGCTTATTTGCATTAAATTGAGGCTTTTCTCCGTGGACAATCAGCATTGCAATGGTGTTTCAATATTGAGGCTCATTCCATTTATTATAATTCCATTACCAAATGGGTTAACACGCCCAATCGACATTTTTACGCAAAAGGACAATATATGTCATTTTCAAATCATGACACTAACATCCATTTTCTTGTACAAACTCTAAAATTGATATAATTACTTATAATGTTCTTAGTCTAAGTGGAAACCATGATGCTTAACTGTTCAAATGAATAAACAAATTTAAAGGTTGTAATCATTCAATTCCTTTACCAAAACAAAAAAAGCAAAACTTATATTCTTTGCTCAAGCAAAATAGTTTACTTTTTTGTAAGTCAAGCAGTTTAGATTTAAAAAGTAATATGAAAGCTCCACGAGTGTAAACTAAGCTTAATATATGTCTGGTTTAAATTACCAAAAAAAGTTATTTTATTACCAATGGAAGTTTACATATACATTTTTTCTTTAAACCTTGTATTTCAATTTTTATGATTATACAAGCAGAGTTGCCACAAATGACTATTTGCAACTTTTTATTGCCTGATAAAACTTAAAAAAAGCAACTATTTTTGAGAAAACGAGACTTTTCTGTACTCCTAGCTGTTTTTTTAGCATACGTTGGTTAGCACAACCTGCAGCCTAAGAAGCTTCTGAATAAAAGAAAACAAATTCTTTACTATCATTTATGTCTAAAATGCCAAAAAATTTGTTTCCCATTGCATTTAATTAAGTGTATTTTATTTTTTTCTCTCTGATTTATAATATATTTTTTTTTATGAATTGTTTTTTCCTTCTATCAACGTTAGCTTTAATTTTTTACCTGTTTCAACTTTTATCTAGGTATGTATTTTCTGTTGTGTAAATTTTTTTTTAGTTGTATAGAACTTTTTTTAAAAAAGATCATGGTATATGAGTCATTTAATAAATTTTTGTTCTTATTTAGGCAACTATTTTTTTTTCTTCTGTGGCAACTGTACAAATTAGATGACTAATATTTTTTAGTTCACAATTTTTCCATAACTGGTATTCATTGTTTCTTTGCACAGGAAATTGGTTTTGCTCACCTAAGAATTGTTAAAGGTGTTCAGTCCCTGCTTCAGTTATCAGGTCTTCTAGCCTGCCTCTGTAATAAAGCAAAATCTGACTCATAAGTAACCTATCAAGTATATAAATTGTAACCTATGTATTTTTAATAAAGAAATTTTTGCTTACCTTGTAAATTGAATTTCTATAATGTTTATTTATATACACTTCCTAAATTAAATTTTACCTTACACATTTTATTATAAATATTTTGGAATTATTCATTTTATTTTTTTTAACAAGCATAATTATAACATGCTTTTTTATTCAATTATGTAACTTTAAAATACTGTAGTTTTGGAATAGACTTATGGGCCTGTGGTGTTGGATTTAATAAATAGACTGTGGTGTCAGATGTAAAAAATAAACATAAATTTCTTAGAAAAACTCTTTCAAAAAATAATTTAAGCTAACAATCATAAAATTTTTATATCAAATATTTTGTACATCATAACTTATCAAAAAATAATTTGTTTTGTAAAAACTGATTATAATAGGTTCAAATTAAATGTATTAAAAAGTTCTTGGTGTCATACTCAAATTACACGAAAGCAAAGAATGATTTCTCATGTACAAATTGTCTAAACTCTGTGAATTTGTTTATAGTTAAAATGTAAATCAAAATACCATGGTGCTTAGTGTTTTTAAAAGGCGCTTTTTTCATTGGGCGTTTTCAAAAGGGTCTGGGTTTTCCCTTTTTTTCTTTACCCTGTCTATGTTTTACCACCAGATTTTGATTTCAACATTAATTTTGATGTCCTCGACTTAGTGCACCCCTCTACGTATCGGGCCTTGACTTGGGGATATAACAGCCCAATAGATAAGGGTTTGGAGATCTTTACAGATGGCTCTAGAATGGAGACAGACAATAAAAGTTCCTTCAGGACATCATACGCAGTCATCATTAAGATTGACGGAATAACAGTAGATCAAGACTCCTCTAGAGTAGTGGATAATACCAATATTTTTACTGCTGGGCTGATGGCGATTGAGGCAGCACTATATTGGACTGTAACAAACAATATTACGCAAGCTTTCATTTTTTCAGACTCGCATTCTTTCCTCCAGGCCCTGGCAGACCCAGAACCTTCCTACAGACTCATCGAACAAACAAAAAGAAAATCGAGAGAGGGCATTGAATTAAATTGGGTCAAGGCGCATGTTGGTATCCAGAGCAATGAGGAGGCAGATAGAGCCGCAAAGAACGCAATCGGTTCAGACATTAAAGATCTCCGGTGTCTGAGTACCCCTAAGATGACTAAAACTGACATAAGAAAACTTATCATGGCGAGCTGGGAAAGGAAATGGAGAGAATCGAGTGAAGGTCGGCAGACCTACAAATTCATTAAAACCCCGTCAACTACCAGACTACAAGCAAACTTTTATTTAAATCAATATTTGACGGGGCAGGGAGTGTTTGAAACTTATCAAAACAGATTTTTTAACAAAAAAGATAAATGTAAATACTGTAACGAAAAACAAACACTTGAACATCTAGCATATTTCTGCAATCATTTCCAAGCACTCCGATAAAATTTATTCCATGATAAAAATGACCAACAAATTTTTGCAAACAATAGATGTAGAGAAATAATCAAAACCACTCTAGAGGATCTGCTGACACAAGTTTTTAACAACTAATTAATATCTCCATTTCTGGACCAGCTTGTAATTTTTATATTATGGACCACGACTCAAATTTTTAAAGTGTATTTATACAATTTTAGACCACCTTTTTACTCTATTTGCATTTTTAATTGCTTTGATTTTATCTTGCCTATTTTAAGCTTTAATGTTTTTTTTGTACAAATTTTTAACGTTCCTTCATTGTACTATTGTTTTATTGACCTCATGTCTTTTAGTCAATAAATTTTAACAACTTTTTCTTATTAATGTTAATCTGTTTTTTATAAGTTGACTATTTTATGTCAATCTTTTGTGTTATTTTAACTGTACTTCTCTTAATCATTTTAGTGATTTCGATGTTTTTACTTTAAGTGCTATATTCAGTTTTAATCTTTTAAAATTTTTTATGTCTTATTATATCGACTTTGAGAGTATGCTCGATCCTTTACAAATTTTTATGTTGAATTTTTAGACCCTTTTGGTCAATTGTATAATTTTAGCCTTTAACTTCATGTTTTTTTCCTTTAATCAATTGTCCCTTATAATCTTTTTATTATTTTTCCTGTATTTTAAACTTAAAATTTTTAAACAACCAGTCTTCAGTCATGAGGATTGACCAAAAATATTTTTCATGAAGCTTGTACAAATTCCATTATATTTTGACAGCTCTCACACGGTAAATTCTGGGTCTCACATGGTAGATATTGTTAATTTTATTAAATTTCAAATATTTATAAGGGTCCGTTGGCCAATTTATAAACACTAATTTAATGTTTTTCTTGAATTTTTCATATATTTTATTGTAAACATCAATCTAGATGTTTAACTTCACCTGTTAGTTAATAGTCGGAATAATCACAACTATTATACTTGTAAAACGTTTAATTCTAGAGGTGAATTAGTTACTTTTGTATTTTTGCCCGATTACCTCCAGGCTGTTGCCAAAATAGTACTATGTTTTTTTCTTGTTTTTAAGTAAATGCCACGGAAGGGCTTCGCCGGGCCTCTCGGGCAGTGCGTGTGCCAGATACTCTCTGTCCACCTCCGGCTGTGCGGGAGACTGTCACGGCGACAAGTTGAAAATTTTTCCCGCATACCCATATTTGGGGGGNATAATACCAATATTTTTACTGCTGGGCTGATGGCGATTGAGGCAGCACTATATTGGACTGTAACAAACAATATTACGCAAGCTTTCATTTTTTCAGACTCGCTTTCTTTTCTCCAGGCCCTGGCAGACCCAGAACCTTCCTACAGACTCATCGAACAAACAAAAAGAAAATCGAGAGAGGGCATTGAATTAAATTGGGTCAAGGCGCATGTTGGTATCCAGAGCAATGAGGAGGCAGATAGAGCCGCAAAGAACGCAATCGGTTCAGACATTAAAGATCTCCGGTGTCTGAGTACCCCTAAGATGACTAAAACTGACATAAGAAAACTTATCATGGCGAGCTGGGAAAGGAAATGGAGAGAATCGAGTAAAGGTCGGCAGACCTACAAATTCATTAAAACCCCGTCAACTACCAGACTACAAGCAAACTTTTATTTAAATCAATATTTGACGGGGCAAGGAGTGTTTGGAACTTATCAAAAGAGATTTTTTAACAAAGACGATAAATGTAAATACTGTAACGAAAAACAAACACTTGAACATCTAGCATATTTCTGCAATCATTTCCAAGCACTCCTATAAAATTTATTCCATGATAAAAATGACCAACAAATTTTTGCAAACAATAGATGTAGAGAAATAATCAAAACTGCTCTAGAGGATCTGCTGGCACAAGTTTTTAACAACTAATTAATATCTCCATTTCTGGACCAGCTTGTAATTTTTATATTATGGACCACGACCCAAATTTTTAAAGTGTATTTATACAATTTTAGACCACCTTTTTACTCTATTTGCATTTTTAATTGTTTTGATTTTATCTTGCCTATTTTAAGCTTTAATGGGTTTTTTCGTACAAATTTTTAACGTTCCTTCATTGTACTATTGACCTCGTGTCTTTTAGTCAATAAATTTTAACTTTTTCGTATTAATGTTAATCTGTTTTTTATAAGTTGACTATTTTATGTCAATCTTTTGTGTTATTTTAACTGTACTTCTCTTAATCATTTTAGTGATTTCGATGTTTTTACTTAAAGTGCTATATTCAGTTTTAATCTTTTAAAATTTTTTGTCTTATTATATCGACTTTGAGAGTATGCTCGATCCTTTACAAATTTTTATGTTGAATTTTTAGACCCTTTTGGTCAATTGTATAATTTTAGCCTTTAACTTCATGTTTTTTCCTTTAATCAATTGTCCCTTATAATCTTTTTATTATTTTTCCTGTATTTTAAACTTAAAATTTTTAAACAACCAGTTTTCGGTCATGAGGATTGACCAAAAATATTTTTCATGAAGCTTGTGCAAATTCCATTATATTTTGACAGCTCTCACCTGGTAAATTCTGGGTCTCACATGGTAGATATTGTTAATTTTATTAAATTTCAAATATTTATAAGGGTCCGTTGGCCAATTTATAAACTTTAATTTAATGTTTTTCTTGAATTTTTCATATATTTTATTGTAAACATCAATCTAGATGTTTAACTTCACCTGTTAGTTAATAGTCGGAATAATCACAACTATTATACTTGTAAAACGTTTAATTCTAGAGGTGAATTAGTTACTTTTGTATTTTTGCCCGATTACCTCCAGGCTGTTGCCAAAATAGTACTATGTTTTTTTGTTGTTTTTAAGTAAATGCCACGGAAGGGCTTCGCCGGGCCTCTCGGGCAGTGCGTGTGCCAGATACTCTCTGTCCACCTCCGTCTGTGCGGGAGACTGTCACGGCGACAAGTTGAAAATTTTTCCCCTCGTACCCACATTGGGGGGGGGGGGGTTAGGGGTAATTAACCTTACCCTGTTTATGTATTATTATTTTAAATGTGCTATAATACTTTATTTTCCAATTTGAAAAATAAGAGATTTTACGAGTCAATTGTGAGAATTTTATGAAACAAAATAATACTTGTAAGCACTAACCTGCTATCTTTCCCATTTTACTAAACTATTGTCGTTTCAAATGAGCAACAAAAATTACATAAATGACGTTTAATCTCATAATCAATTTTTTACATTTACGAGTACATTTTCATTATTAAACGCTTCTTTCATTAATTACTATTACTGTGGATTAAGCTATGAAATTATGTACAGAATGCATCTTCTTTGGTAACTTATTCGACTTAGTTGTCTTTTTCTAAAAAGAAAAAGATATTTAAAAAAAAAAACAATTGAACAGTTTGTATGTGCGGCAGGTTACTTTAACAGAAGAAATGTGTAACACTCTATCCAAATTATTGAGAAATCCATTTTCAAGATCCTTGTAAGAAGGGATAAAAGAAATCAGATGGCAAATTTACTTTTAGTGATGGCGCTTTTGGATAGTGTGGTATGACTGGTTCAGTAACATCAAAAAATGACACTGATGCTGACAAAATAATGAGTTGTTCCCCATTAGTTAAATCAGCAAAATTTATGTAATGATAGCCTAAACCTAATATTTTAAACTGTGGATTTTGAACTGTACCAACTGCCGCATATACCACATTTATTTTTAGTCCAGTAGTTAAATGACAAACACCGTCCACATTTGAAACTTCTTCATCATGATAGGCTTCAATCCACTCTTCTCTGTTACTCTCATTAGCATTTCCAAACATGCCAACAAACAAATTACTATCCCTACTGGAACCTAAAAGAACATCATAAATTTTTTCCTGGGCAGTTTTACAGTCATTAATATTACTATTTATCTTTAAGTAGCAACTTGATTTGAAGTTCTTTCCAAATTTTACGCTTTTGCGCCCATGGCACTGGCTCAAACCGTCTTTACCAAAAATTGAGAGACCCCCTGGTTGAATTATTATTTTGGTAGCTTCAGAACTGTTTGTGCCGGTAACAATTGGCAAACCTACTTGGTATCCAGGATTGCCACTTCTCTTAGTAATTGTTTCTGTAGAATTGTGCCACTTAAATTCAACGCTGAAACGTTGAGTCACAGTTGAGTTAACTGACGATAAATTGAGAAGACTGAAAGTTGGTATGATTTCTTTAATTCCTAAAATTCCGTTGTGAAGTACAGTGAAATGAATCTGACTAACAACGTTGAAGCAAGTATTTGATTCATAGGTGGGTTTTTCTGTTATTTTAGTGAAGCAAAACTTGTTGACATCGGAAAATAATTCATCAGAAATAATGGTTTTTGAATGAGGAAACAGATTATTTGAAAGTCCTCTCCGCTGAGCGCCTAAACAAAAATTTATGTAGTTGTGTACGGATAAAGCTTCATTTTTTTCACATTCGTTTCGTAGATTATTTATTGTAACAGTACAAGAGGAATTGTAGTCTTCCAAATATAGTACTTTTCTTCTGCAGGTACATGCCTCACCAAAACATGAATGAGGTAAATCTGTAAAAGATAAATATATAAAAACCAAAAAAGAAGCAATTTATAACTAAGCAAAGCAGTAAAATGAGGAAATTAAGTTTAAATATACAGTGCCCATTGTTTAATTGCATCGGTTAATGAAGATTTTGACTCCAATAAATTGCTGAATCCATTGGCATTACTGGCTGCGGTCAGTGTGCGGGTGGGTGACCAATTGGATCAGTCTGCATAGGGACCGAGGGTGTGCGGTATTGGTCCTCGTATAACTGTTCTACCATAAAGTGCTCCACTTCCCTTGCAGGTCTTCGGGTTACTGAAATGGGGGTACCATTCCCTCTGTAGAGGATCAAAATTGTGATGGCATGTCTCAGGATCATCCGCAGGGATGTTTCCCAAACCATCGCCAATAGCCCATTGTGCAGCTCTAGTGTGACGTAAATGAACAACAACGATCCATCGACAAAAAATCTATGTATTTTAAAAGGAAAAAAAAAAATTTTTTTTTTAGTTTTCACCGCATTACGAGTATAAATATAAAATAAGATTAATTTATGTGAAAATGAATTTTTGTACAAATTTTGATTAGAAATCTTGGAGCATCTACTGGTTACAAAAACATTTTTATAATCAGGGGTGCGCAACCCTACTAAGGAAGGCTGATGGGGACATTACCCCCCCCCCACACACACTCACACCAAATTTAATAAAGTCCCCTTATTCCAGCAAATACAAATTTAGATATAAAATTTTTATTTAAATAACATCACTGTTAAATGTGAGTAAAAGTTTTGAATAGCTTGTTAATTTTCAGAAGACTAAATTAACATCTTTTAAACAAATGACGAAAAAATACTGGAAACATCGGAAAAAAAATATGTTTAAAATTGTAATGCAAATCTGACATACACACAGTACTCATGTGCTAATTTTAAAAAAATTATGCTCATTTCACAACCGATTTGAAAATTTATATATTATTTTTATTATGTATCTTCTATTATAATGGTATCATAATAATGTGATAATCAACAGTAATTTCTGAGAGAGTAAATCTTGTTTTAAGTTAAAATTACTAACAAAACTAATGAGGCACTCTATTTTGAGACAATATTTAAAATTTCATTCACACATGATTATAATATCACAATACGTTAAGTGAAATAATTTTCTCCTGCCTTTTTTTTTTATCTATTTGTTATCATTTATACGTGACAATATATATTTTTAAGCAAGCCTGACACCATGGAGTCTGTTCTAACACAAGTTTGACTTACCATAATACCTCTTATGCAGAGCAATTAGTACCAATTAAAATTAGTTAAAAGTTGATAAAATTTAAATTAGGAATACGAGAAAATCAGTTGCAGGTAGGGTCGGCCTGAGCTTTTTTTAAAAAAATGAGGGGTGTATGAAAAAAAAGCCGAAACTATTTTTAAATCATTCCAAACGACTAAACAAACGTTTGAGTGACTAATAAAAAGATGCACATCCTTACTTCTACTGAGATATTTCGAAAATATTAATTTTAGATGCATTAAAAAATACCAATACTTTATTATTCATATCTTGCACAGTTTTCAATGATTTTTTTTTTTCAAATTTTAGAACAATAATTTTAAATTGCTGCAAAAAAATTTAAAGTTTCTTAAAATCTTTTTAAAGTTATAGTAAAAAAGAAAGCCAAAAAACTTTGTTCTTTAAATATATATATTTCCATAATATTTAAACTAGGTTTGTGAAATTTTATGCACTTATTTGAATAGCAATCAAAGTAAAAGATAAAGTTTATTTCTTGAATTTCTGGCATAAGGCATTCAAAAATACTTGCTTTATTTCGTAATTTAATGTCAGTCCCTCAAACCATTGAAAGCTAAGTATGAAAAATCGGATGGACTAAATACCTCTAAAAATGTAAAATATCCTCTAAGTATATCTTAAGAAAATGTCAAAAACCGAAAGTGTCTTGCATTATTGTAGTGTAAAGTATGATGAATTCAAAATGCATAGGTAAACATCTCACACCTGAATACGAGAATTTTGTCTAAGAGTGGATAATACAGATTATGGGGTTTAAATGGCAAGATCCCACTATGTAAAAAAGTAGTCTTTAGGTAGGTAGATAACTGTATTTACTTTAAACAAGAGCTGCAGAATGGGCTATTAGCAACGGTCTGGGAAACATCCCTGAGGCAATTTTGATCCTCTGCAGAGGGAATGGTTCCCCTGCTTTGGCAGCCAGACAACCTGCGAGCGAAGCCGAGCACTTTATGGTAGAACAGCTTAACGAGGACTGATACCTCAGACCCTATATAAGCTGATCAAAGTGGTCACTCACCTGCTTCCTGACCGCAGCCATGAATGCTTGACTTCAGTGTTCTACTGGGATCCGTGTCTTTACAATCAGTCCATTGCGGGACTCTATTACTATTTAAAAATCCACTTAGTGATAGAAATTAACATTTATTTTTTATTTTTAGTACACATATAAAATGTGATTTTTAAAAACATTTTAACTTCTTATTACACTTTTGAAAAGAGAGCTATCCTTTAAAATATATAACTCATAACAAGTTTTTTTAATACAAATAAATTGTTAAAAAAAACTGTTTTTAAAATTTGGGAAAAAAATAACTTTGCAAATATAAATATTAAAAAAAAATGCCTTTGTTCTACTGAGAATCCAGCTTCTGTCATTTTTTGAGGAAATTAGGAAACTGCTCAGGAAGTTCTACATCAGTTAAAAGAGTGTTTTCTACTTGTAGTCTGGTTTAGTTAAAACTGAGGTACAAACGAGGGATTGAAAAAGCCAAAAAACTGGTTATATGACATCGTTTTTTAAATCAAAACAAAAATAATCATTGTGTCAACTTATAGTAAATAAAATTTATAATGCAATAAAAGTTCACTATTACTTCATACTGTTCACTATTTTAACATGGTTTGAAATTTAATGAATTTTTAAATTTAAACCATTATCTAGTTGCCTTAAAATATAATTACTAAAAAAAAATTTTTTTAATCCATCCATTTAAGTCTTTCATAAAGATAAAATATTATTTTTGAAATAATTTTAATATTTTGTGATAATACTAATAAATGCTTATTTCATTTCTATTTGAAAATTTATTTATTAAGGAGATAAGAGGAAAACAAATCTATTCCCCTGTTTAGTTCAAAACAAAAAATTTTTAAAATTATTGTTTAAAAATATTATTTTCCTTAATGTTGAAACAAGAAAGATTATTATATCAATTTAAAGTTACATACATATTTTTCTAAATATTTTTGAAGTTTTGAAAGTAGAGTTATGTATGCTAGTGTATTATGTATAATTATTTATAAGTCAAATAAGGAATAACAATTTATATGAGAAAGGTCAGATTTTGATTATGTTTAAAAAAAAACTACTACAGCCTAGGTTTTTTTTAGTGGTTCATTTTTAAAAAATAATAATAAACCAGGGTTTGGGAATGGGTCAAAAACCCTGGTTTAAGATCCAAATTACTTACCCCAAACACTTTCTATTTGAGAAATAATAATGGGTACAGGTCTTCCAGATTTCATGTCTTGTTCTTTTGTTTCCCTCACTTGAGTGTCCTCCCAAGAATAAATCGTTTTTGACTGATATTTGAGGAGCACATCAAGATCTCTGTGAGATTTCAGAGTAGGTAAATCTTTAAAGCGCAAATACTGTTTCAAGTTGTTATGAGCTATGCAAAGCAAACCGTTGTTAGGATTTTGCTGAATCTGATAAACAGCATTGTTTCGTAAAATTATATCCGTGAAATAGCAATAATTTTCATCAACCGTCACTTGAGAATTACAACTAGAAAAAACTTTCATATCATCTTCACTGCAATCTGAGTCACAACAGCAGTTAATATCACAAACATCATAATATAAATCACAAATACAGATGTTTTCATCTGACGGAGTATAAGATAGATCATACCAGTGCCAGAATGGTAAATCATCAAGTTCTCCGTCGCTGGAAGCGTCAGTAACATTCACCCCAGTTATATTCGTAGCAGAAATATTTTTCCAGAGAGAGTGATTTTTATCGAGTTCTGCATATGATTCATTTTCAAAAGAAGTTTCATAATCAAAGTTTGATGTATAGTTTTCTAAAGTTGCACTTAAAAGAAAGTGGTAAAAAATGCATAATACGTTTAAACAAATACGGGTAGCAAGAAAATAAACCATGCTCACATTTTACGAAGGCTATATTTACTGAATTAAAATAGAAGAATTTAGTAAGTTTGTATACTAATAAGGCAATGATCTAGAAATGCCATTTATGCGTTGTATTTACACTTAAGTGAACACCGTCACCATGGCAACTGATAGAGCGCTATTGATTGTTTGATTACATGTGAAGCAATTGATTTTTATTTTATTTGAAAGCTACAAGCTGCAATTCGGCCAAATATATCGGGCTTGATTTGGAATGATCTTGCCAAAGGATTGGATATCAAAATAGATTTGAATTGAAAATAATGATTTTGGTAGTGTATAGAGTGAGGATGCCTGTGAATCCTCAGGAAACAGGATGATCCCTCAAGGCATGTTTTCAAGCATGCGCAGTATACTACATAATGAGTAACGCCTCCTCCCTGTCCTTCTTACAGACGTCTACAGAACAGAAAATGGCGCGCTCATTTCCAGAATCAAAGCTCATTTCAAATCAAAGCTTATCAAGAAATAATAAAATATTATTAAAAGGGTATGTAATTATATTTTATTCGAAGTATTGATTTTCTGCCTTTTCATTAGAAATATGTATTTCCTTAATTGTTGAATGATCATCTTTTTTAATTAATTAATGAACGCTGAATAAATAAAAAGCTTTGCAAGAATCTATGTTCAGTTTCTTTCCTATTTTCTTTATTTGATGTTAAATGTACAATGTAATGACTGGTGATTAAGACGTTAAAATGCAAAAATTGCGAACAGAAATCCGAATAAATTATTTATAGTTTGTAAGTGCAAATATATTTATACAATCCTTAGTATTTAACGATCATTCAATGTAAAGAAAAGGCAGCATTTCATGTATTGAATAAAATATATTTACTGCTCATAATAAGATCTCTTTTGTTCACTCGTTTTTCATTGACTCAAGAGTCTTCACATGATTATTTAATAAAAAATACAAAAGAAATATTTCATAATCATAACAAAATGTGACCCAAGCATACTCGTGATACAATTGGTGTGACTAATATAAAGCATGTTTCCTTAATTAGACTAAGCAATAATGTAAAATTTGAGGCACTTATTTATTGAGTGTAGGTAAATTTTCCGTCATATTTGAGGGGAGTATGAGTTCATGACAAAGTAATGAATTTAAAAAGTTTGGGCCAATATTNACTACTGTTAAAATTAATCAAAATGTATAATATTATGTCACAACAAATTTGATCCTCGGCAATTTTCAAGTTACTTTATTACTATTTTATGTATATATTTCAACAAGTAATTCTTACGCATTATATAAAAAATAGAAGAATTTGAAGTTTTTAAAAAATAACTAAAGGCATTCTAAAAGACAATCTCTGTGTATGTATTTTCTTAATAAAAAGCACACTAGAAAAAAAAAGATTAATTGAATAACAACTTAAAAGCTTTTTTTTTATATAGATAGATTTTAAACTGAAAACTGTCAGAAAATGAACTTTTAAAGTAGCATTTTTAAATTTAAAAAAAAAGTTTTAAAGAAATTAATTTAAATTAATATAATTTATTACAATATAGTATGAAAAATTTAAGTTACATTTTAGACAGATTGGATTGAAATTAAATTGTACGCAAAATAATCAGTTATTTGAACAAATATGATGTATAATGATGAGGATGTGCATATTTGCTAACCGGAATTCAAAGTGAAAATATGTAAATCATTGATACTAATAAGTAATTTTAAAAATATGACATGAACTAATGAAAAATGATCACTTTCACTTATAAACTTTCAGTAGCCATGCAGATGGAAATTGATTTAAATGGATAAAGAATAAGTATACATTTTTGTAAGTAAACATTCATGAGTCAAAATTAAAGCAAATAATCAGAAATGAAATAAATTTTCTACAGAATAAAATGAAGTTAAATTGAGTGAAAATAATCAATTACTTGAACAGATGGATTTTAATTAAAGAAAGACTGGAAGCTTAACTGGAATTCATGTACAAACATTAATGATTTATTGGAACTGAAAGCTAATTTTAGAGGAAACTGTAAAAAAAAAAAATATTAGTTGTACTTGAAAATAATCAGTGACAATGAAGATGAGAGTAAATCTCTGGAGCTAAAAAATGGATAGTGAGTAATGTAAGACAGTTTTTTAAAAATTATAATTACAAATAGTTATAAAATTACAAAAATAAATAAGTAAGAACTCTGATAACTAGAGCTATTAAGTAAGAGAAAACTCACTTAAAACGAAATGATAACATAAATAATGCATATTAAATACTTTTAGCTTATCCACTTGCTGACCGGGCAATTCCGTGGTAAGGTCAACCAGGCATTAACAAGTACAGTTTTTTTCCTTCTTTTTGAAGAATTCACACTAATAATATCTTCAGACTATTTTTTTTAATATTATTATAATTTTAGTTTTAAAATGCGCAGAAAAACAATACAAATCTAAGATATCAACAGGTTTGAAAGGAGATGCAAATTTTTAGCACAATAAACAGAAACGTCTCTATTATAAAAGGATTGTATTGTAGCCTTCACAGCACTCGGTTGTTCTGTGTGTTGACTACTTATATACTAAGAAAGTATCTAAATATCTGTTTTATCAATCTTTTTTAAAAGAGTCTTGACATTGCTTATCACACTATGGCATCTACCAGAGAAAAGAGAGCAAATGCTGGGAATCGCATGGCCTTGTTGTTGGAAAATGAAGATGCTGATGATTTCTACAGCAGCGCTTATGGAGGATTTCAAGAAGTAAGAGTATCTTTAAACTCTCTGCAACAATTTTTCTTTTTTGTATGAAAAATATCTCTTTTAATGTACAGCAGTGGTTTTTTATCTTCAGTATCATTGGCACATATAATACAATGAATACGAATTCAAGATCATAATTAACCTCATGACATATTTCAGAAAAATGGAAAAAAAATTTGACTGTTTAATTTTGTTCTTTATATTATTATAAAAGCTAGAAAATAGTTTCTTATTACAAAAATTAAATTTTAAATGCAATAACTACTGTATTTGTAATTTTTACATACACATAAATAAGTAATGGATTACACACACATCTTATTTCGTTCGAGCAAATTAAACAAAACTTTGAAGCTAAATATAATATTACTAGTATAGTTTAATATAAAACACAACAATAGGATTTTCAATACATAAGTTTGACAAATCTTTTACAATATGGTATATCCCAAAACACGGTATTGCACACAAGCCCATATCTTACTCTTCGCCCTCGACTGAAGTCGTAATCTGTGAAAAACTAGGACCACTAATGCCATCTATAGCAATATTTGTTTTAAGTAGGTTAAGCTGTTTTTTATTTCTTTAAGTTTTCCCAGCAATTAAAGCTAGTATAGTTATCCCTATATAACTCAGACAAGAGTACAGAAATTGTTTGTTTCCTCTTAATATATTTTGTACAGGGAAAAAAGTGAGGAATTTTTTTCCTTGATTATGCAGCTTTTCACTTTTCATATTTGGAAGGGCTCCATCCATAAATTATCCATTCATAGAATTTTTTCACAAGCAAACTTTGCTGAGCAAACTGCATTAGCTGTCAAATCATTAAACGATTATGTGGCTTAAAATGAATTTGGTTGTAAAAAAAATACAATTAAGTCCCTGATTGCAAAAGAAAACTAAATTATTTTCCGAACAACCCAGAACACAACATTCCTACTATAACTGCTTAGATAGCTGAAATAAGATTGAGTCTTGAAATGAATTAGGTGCTTGGCCATGCATTATATATAAAGATATACATAAAAAATTTTCAAAATTAATAAGAAAACTATTACGAATAATCGATTTTATTTCATCTGCAATCTATTTATTTTTAACACTCAAAGTTCATGTAATTAATATTTCTAGGAAGAGGATGATCATGAATTCTCTGGTGATGAAGAATCAGAGAGTGAGGATACTGATTCTGATATATCAATTGATGAAAATGATGAACCAGTGTCTGATGAGGATGATGATCAAAATACCACAAAACGGAAACGTCGAGTTGTGACTAAAGCCTATAAGGTATATCCTTCATTCATTACATACACATTGTTTGATAAAAAAAAAAACACCAGGAAAAGATTAGTGTAGAGCAGTGTTTCCCAAAGTGTGGCACGTGTACCCCCTGGGGTACAGGAACAGTTTAGCAGGGTTATATGCAAGATATCTTGAAACAAACGAAAGTTTCAAAAAAATTTATTTAAAAACAAAGCTAGCTATGAAAATTTACTATTACATATTTTTCTATTGGCTATTTTTTGCAGAGTTAACAGTTAATAATTAGTGGTGTCAACAGCCAGTTGTGATTTTTAACTTTTGTGCAATTTTTTTCGAGTAAAAAATGCATTCATTTTTTTATTAGTGGTACAAAGTGTTACGAAAAATTTTGAAAAGGGTACACAAAAGTCATAAGTTTGGGAAACACCATTGTAGAGTAGAAAATTTTGGCAGTGCGGCTTGTCTGCTTAACATATTTAATTGATTAAAGTGCAAGATCACAGGTTAATGCAGTTAAGAGAAAAAAAATTTTCAAATGGGATATACTGGCTCATTAATAACTGGTGTAACCACCAGAATTTTGAATGCAAGTATGCAAACAGGCACGCATTGTGTCATAGAGATGCAGTATGTAATTTTGTGGGATACAGTTCCATGTGTGTTGCACTTCGGAGGTCAATATGGGGAGAGCTATTGTTGGTTGTGGGTGACGCTGAAGTTATCGTTCAATGATGTCCCGAACGTGCTTGATTGGTGACAGATATGGTGATCTATCAGACCAAGGCAGTGTGCCAAGATCCTTTAGAGCATGTTGGATTACAACAGCAGTATGAGGGTGAGCGTTATCCTGTTTTAAAATACCTCCTTGGATGTTGCTCTCGAAGAACAAAACTGGTTGAATCATCAGGTTTGCATACAAATTTGCAGTCAAGGTGTATGGAATAACCACGAGACTGCTCCTGCTGTCATAAGAAATTGCTGGCCAGAACATAACTCCAAGTGTAGGTAGAGTATGTCTAGGCCGGAGACAGGTCGATAACAGGCACTTGCCTTGGCTTCTACTATACGGCTATGACTGGAACCAGAGCAGAGCCGACCTTAATCAGAAAACACAATGTTTCTCCCTATTAAATATTTTGTCCTCCAGTGAGTTGAATGCAAGCTACAGGGCATCGCGCTTGGAGCTGTACTTAAAGTAGAACATTTGTAACAGTTTGTTGTATCATTGCATTGCCCATTGCATCTCAAATTTCTGGTGCAGGCGCTGTGCCGTGCACCAAGCAGTTCCTTCCCTTGACCACTGCTGCCAACAATCATGCACGGTGGATACATTTCAATCCAGTCTTTCTGTAATATCACGGACATAAAATTTACCTTCTCGCAGCCCTATTACACGACAACGTTCAAAGTCTAGCTTTTGATAATGGCTTTTTCATCATCTTAAAGGCATTGTTGACTAACAAGCAACTCACTTTGTCAAAATTTAACGAAAAATAACGCTAGCAAACTGTAGAACATGTGTTTAAAGCAACCCTGATTTGCATGTTTATAGTGGTGCTACTAACGCCAAACTTATGTGACAAGCGCGGAATTTGAATAGACATGTTTTAGTTGTACAGTACAGGACCCGTTATCCGGAAATCGGAAAACCAAAAAGCCTGAACGAAATTCGATACATTTTCCCGCCATTTAAAAACTTTTTTTTTTTTTTCCTCTTAAGATTTTAGGATTTTTCTTTCTTTTTTGAAAGATGCTTGCCTTACCATCATTTTGGAAATAATCATTGGTGTATTACTTCATCGTTTTTTCTTCTTTTTAAGATTATTTTCAAATATTTTTTTTTTTTTAGTTTGGTTTAACAATTGAAAAAAAAACAGCATTTTGTAGCGATTCAGAAAATCGGAAAAATCAGTTTTCTGGAATAGCGATGGTCCCGATCGTTCCGGATAATCGGTTCCCTACTGTATAAACAAGCTAACCAAATTTAGTTTATCTAGCACAATTCCTTGGTGTTGGGATTTTTTTTTATGTCTGTGTATTTCTAATAAGAATTCCATTTTCCTTATCATAGTTCTTTCATTTTAGGAGCCTACAAAACCAAAAATAAAAAAAGAAGTTAAAAAATCACCTCTGAAAAAAGCATCTTTTATATCTGTTGCAAATATCGGTAATGTATTCTTTGTAAACATCCTTCTCATTTCATTTGCGCCACTTATTTCAATCTATGCATGTGTGCTTACTAGCGCCAATCTGAAAGTTGTTTTAATGCCTTTCACTAAATTCAAATTTGTAATAACTAAAACAATTCTTTCACAAAACACATTGAAAATTTATAAAAATTTATTAAAAGCTCTAAGTGAGAAGTTGAAGGAGTTTCAATGCAAACGTGTTCGACTTATAACCTTCAAAAGACTATTTTAAAATATTCAATTAGAGAAATGAAGATTTTTACTAATTTTATCATTAATAATCTTAAATTAGGTTTTGTGTCCAATTTAATTTGAAATTCTTGTGCTATATCTATTCTAATTAAGAATTTGTTTTTGGTACATATACATAAGCTGAAAATGAATAAAATAAGCTGAATTATGGTTTTTGTTGAAATGGAAACTTAAAACAATTACTATAAACATTGAAAGTGTTTATTTCGAAAATATAATTCTTCATGAAATTTTTTTATTATTTTGATTTGAAAAATGTGATATTTTATAAGGAAATACTAATGTAATAGGAGGAAATACTAATGCAATATTTTATAAATGCTTATTCTTTTCATAATTTGTTCAACATGAAGTTATTTAAAAATTTGATTTCTCCGGAACTATTCAACCGATTTCGCGCAAATGTTATATTTTGTCATGCAAAATTATATTTTTTAGCATGATGTAAACATTTTATACCTTGGAATTCAAAACGTGTTCGACTAATATTAAACAGAACAATTAAAAATTATAAATATTTGTTAAAAGTTATTTTTGCATGAAATTATCTTTTGAATTAAGAAATTTATAATTGCGTTTAAATTTCTCAATTTGCTTAAAAATGTATCGAGAAATGGCAAAATACGCAAAAAGTAAAGTTAACAATAAGGGTCCAAACGTAAGACTGCTCTCCTGATGACACTATTCAAACCCTTGCATTTTGGGAGTCGGAAATCTAAATCTGTCAAAAAATAGGTATGTTTATTCAGAGAAAGTGTGTTTTTGTGACCAATATCGTATTTTAAAATATCGTCAGCATTGATTAATTAGCCTATTTAAGGTCACCTCCTCAAATCATTAAGAATGAGTTCTGGAATGTGAAGATCCGATCATTATATGAAAAGTTATTAAGGGTGGTCTGTTTTTAATTTATTTATTTAGTATTTCTTTACGTAATAAATTTCCTAGTTTTGTAATTTTATGTATTTAAGTAGATCTAATGTTTGTATTGAATTAGCAATTCAATAATAAACTGAATTTTAAACCTGCCAACCCTGCTAATTACAAATGCAATATGGCTTTGTGTATGTGGTACTTTTCCCATTTTGTTTACAATATTTCTTTATCATAAATAAGTGTTAAGGTAATATAGAAAACAGGACAATTCCATGGTGACTGACAAAATTTTTTCTTATTTTAAACCTTTTTTTTCATAGATAAAAAATAGTTAAATAATTTTTTTTTTTAAATTACTTGATGTATTTCACTAGCTTATTATTATTCCGCACTATAGAAAAAACGCATAAAAATTTTGAATGTTTTATTTAGAATATAAATATAAAATATGTTTAACATTATGTAGAAAAAAACATGGAGCAAAAGATATTTTTATTATGAAATTCCCCTTCTGCTAGCAACAATGGGATAATTTTTTTTGAAGGAAAAAAAACAACTAAGAGGAAACTTTAGTAGTCAACATGAAAAAAAAAACATATAAAAAGTGGCAAAAAGAGAAAAGTTTTTGAGACTGATATTACAATATTTATGTGCTGAAAGAGTGGATACCACCTCTAGAGAACGCACTAGGTCTGCTCATCGGCAAGACCGATTGTGCAGCTCATTGGAAATAAAAAAAATATCGAAAAAAATATTACCAAATACTTAAATGAATTTTTGATTTTTATAATTAGAATAGTAAATAAAAAATTTATTAATGGTAGGGGGCTGCTGTGTTAAGTTATGTTAATAGGCTGAATTTATTATGAAACAGTGACTCAAAGCAAGTAATTCAGATGACTTGTTGGAATAGAGTGAATTAAATCAGGTCATTAATTCAAGTCTAATGATTATGATCGAGAGTTCAAATCAACCAATTCAGATCACAGATTTAAGTCAATGATTCAGATCATTGATTTAAATCAAGGGATTTGGATCATTGATTTAAATCAAAGAATTCAGATCATTGATTCAAATCAAGGAATCAGGTCAGGATATCTGATTTGAAACACATGATTTACGAATCAAATGATTTCACTCTATTCAGCTCTGATTTTAATTTCAGTTCACTTATCTGGTAGCGAGTGGGGGGGGGGGAGATATTTAATTTTAGAATTCCTTTGAATAAATAAACTTATTCATTATATCTTTTTTATAGTTATAATATAAATATTGCTAAATGGTAAAAATATTTTTAACTGTAGTAATTTTTAAAAAGACTATAAAGAAAATGCATTTCCTTTTTTATTACGTTTCCTTATTTTTTCTCTGCGAACTTATGGAATTCTTTAAATGGAAAATCTTAATTTCTTAATAATAATTGCATAAGAAACTTGTTCTACAAAAAGTTTGTAACTTAATATAACATAGCATCACTGTGAAATAAAAATAGCTGAAATTTAAGAAATAAAAATTTAATTATAGAAAATCAACTAATTTGAATCACTGAACATTATATATATATTCTGTGATTTGAATTTGTACCAAACTCTAAATAGTGATTGCTGTTACTAATTTTAAACTATTTTAACTCATTAGATATTCTTGTCTTGCCAATTATAAAATTGCAAACTTTTCAATAACTTGACAAAGGAAGAGAAAACAGTTTATTAACTTAAGGCAACAATTTTAGCTATAAGAACATTTATACTTTTCTATGATTGATATTACACCAATTTTAGACTTAACTTAGGATCTTCAATGCAAACAAAATGTAATTAATGATTATGTTTATGAATAATTTCTCACTATTACAATTTTCATTTACATAATAAATTTAATAATAAAGAAATTATATATTAATCATTTATTAAAAATTCTCATTATGCAAGTATTATAGTTTTCCTCCATTTTTATTAGTATAATTTTTTTAAAGGTGTTAATTCTGTATTAATGTTTGAATTCTATTTTCTTTAATTTAGTTATTTTTAGAAAATCAGATTATTTAAATCGTTAGATTTGGTATGTTAGCTTAAATCTTGCTGTGACATGTTCAATTTACTTTGAATTTGAATTTTTTTTCAAATTTTATGTAATCTAAAAGTAATCCAATATAATGTTATGATTATTTTTGATTTGTATTAAATACAATTTATTTTTATTAAAAATAAATTTCGTTTTTGCGAGAAGAAAAATTTGTTTCACTACCTGTATGTAAATTGACTTGAAAATACCTTGAATAGTTGGGAGAATAAAATTCTTCTCTTTACGTATGATGTATTCTTTCAGTATAATATGTTTATATTTTTCTCCTATTCAGAAAAGAAACGTATGCGTGAGTCTACAACAAAGAAATCTTTAGAAGTTCGTCAGAGACAAGAAGCAGTGGGTTCATCGAAAACTCAAGATCATCAAAAAAAGAAACAGGCACAAAGCCATGCTATGACTCAAGAGCAGTTACTGGAAGAAGCTTCAATCACAGAATTGAAAAATCTTAAATCTCTTGGTGAGATAATTTTTTCAACGAAGTGAATTATACTTTTTTAAATGTTGAGCAGCTATTAGTTGCATTTTTGTGTCTTTTGTAAGATAATAATTGTTGTACATTCAAATTTACAATTTAATATAGATTTTTATTTATATATTTTTTTACTTTATAAAGTCATGCCAGATTAGTTTTTTTTTTTTTTTCAGATAAAAAATCTTTTAAAACATGCATATTGGTACAACTTGTTAAATCATTTCAGTAATTTTCTGTGGTTAATATTCCCAGTTCTGTTACTGTTCCATTTCTGTGGTCCAAATGAAAATGGGGTTAAAGTGTGAGGTCATTTTATTGCAAGTATACAAAACTGTAGCAAACATTTACTTGTAACTTTTAAATGAACTTAATTTCGACAAACGCATTAATTTTCTATCGTTTTTCTTTCAAATGTTTGTTCCCAGCATATGGTGGATATGAAAACCTGCTTTCTCAAAAAAAAAATCAAGAATGTTTATGCCATGTATTTGAACTCCAAAATGTACATCCTAATACAGCACTTCCTAAAAAGAATGAATATAATTTACAAACAAGAATACTTTCAACATAAGTAGAGCATTTTAAAGGTTGGATTTGCATTAAATTGTCCATATGAGTATCAATTATCTTTACAGGTGAAACGATCTTTCAATAAATCAACAATTCCCTTCTCATTGTCGGACCAACACTAAAACCTTTGTTTGTTGATGAAGCACTTGCGCTCAAATGAGCTTTCGAATAAACAAATTTATCAACTTTTTCCAAATTTTTGTTTTTTTAATTGAATTAGAATTTGGGAATAATAAATTTAGGTAATTTAACCTTTACCAAATCATTTGATTTATTTCTTACAATTAGTTTCGTTATTGATTGACAGTTTTGACATGTTACTTAAGATTTCTTGATTTGAGTTTACAGTTAATAACAATTCCCTTTGAAGTTGTCGAATTTTCTTATTAACTGGGATATCCACAAAATAACATTTTTAGAATATTTTTCAATTGCTTTGGATTCTTTTTTTAGTTCATCTAGGTTAATTAAAGACTCAATTTGATTATCAGTAATTTTAAATGCTTTATATTTATCCATTAATATTTCTAGGATTTATGCTAGTTCAACAATTATGATTAATTAATTAAATTTTAATTGCTCTATGTAAAAGTTTGCAACATTTCGTTACAGAAATGTTCCAAAGACTGGAATTGGAAAAGAAGAAAACAAAATTAACCAAACAAACAAACACTGGTCCTTTTATTCGGTATCATTCTGTAACAATGCCTGTTATTGAAGTAGAATCTGAAAATGGGTAAATATAAATGTTTTTTGTATTATTATTATTTAAGAACAAAATACTTTTTATTAAATACATTGTTTGTTCAAGCGACAAAATTCTGGAAAACTATATGTAGTTGGGCCTCGATTTATCAAATTGGCTGGGGCCTACATAATCCTTCGCTAAATCGAATATCAATTTTTGTAAAGAGTACAGTATAAAAATATCAATGCAAAATACCCTTAGATATATAGATATGAAAAAAAGTGATTGTTTACTACAAGCTTATAAGTTATATGTTGGGAAATGAACTTTAAAATGATCTTACTTTTTTTTATCCTCCTTACACCCACTGTATAAACCATATTTTTTTTTAAAAAATAATAAAAAATTGTAAATACTTTATTTTAATAATTTTTTCCAATCTGGGCACGGATTCTTGTGTTTCACATGATAACCATCTTGTTTAAAATTTTAATTTGGTGCAATTTTTTTTATTAAACTTTGATTTTACATTTAATTATGTTTTTATTTTTGCTTTTCTTTATTCCTTGAATCATGAAGTTAAGCAATGAACACAATTTACTACAATAAACTTTTAAANAACCACTTGGATGATACCGAGATCTGTGGACACAGTGACGTCATGAGGAGGGAAATCGTAGCTTCAGCTCTAAGAGTGGAGTGAACTAGCCCTTCTATTCTCTTTAGCCCTGCCTTCAGAGTGCATGCTTTTTTAAAAAGTGCTTATTTTTAATTTGCATTTTTTAAAAGCCCCTGAAGGTACTTTTTTTTAATTCTGGGTTTGTAAAAAATGCTTCTGCATTATTTATCAGAAACTAGTTATTTTATTGTGATTATGTTTAGTTTTTGAAAATGTTTTTGAATTTTATTGATTTTGTGTTTATCAATTAATAACTTTAAACAATAGAAAAAATATAATTTTCATTACTTCACAAGTCGTAATTATGATTATTTTTTTTTTGGAAAGTTATTAAAAATATTTTTTGAGTGCTTGAAAAGTACTTAAAAGGTGCTTATTTTTTGTTGAAAACTCTGGCTACGTATCCAGTGCTTTGGTTGTGGCTTTAATAAAATGCAACGATCTTAGAGTTCCTACTTTTTTGTTCTCTTTCTGAATTTGTTTCTTCTTAATTTATTTTCTGCTTTCTTTTTTTAATTTCATGTATGGGTCATTTTTGTATTTAGGTGCCATTTGCTGTCTGTCTGAAATTTTTTTTAGATATTTTAAGAAATTTTAAATGATTTTTCTTTGTGTCATAACTTACTAACAGAGAATTTCAATTACAGAAATTGCAATGTTTTAAGGTCCTAATTAAAAAAAAATAGTATTTTGAGGAAATTAAATAAAGGTAAACTGAAAATACAGTTGTCCAAAACATAAACACGAAAGTAACAAGATTTTCTTACTGATAACTAAGCTCTGTTGTATTTTACGATTGCGTAAAATTGTCAAAATTTTAGCTGGGCAGCAGGTTAAAAAGAAAAAGAGACTATTACACTTAACATGATGAAAAGACAAAATAGATATTTTTCTGACAATTTAAAAAAAAAAATCTTTATAAAATAATAGTAAAGAAAAATGTTTCTGTAAAGGGTTCATACAGTGCATTTACAAGACTTCGTCCATTTTATGTATGTGTTCCAACAAGCAGCGGACGAAATATATATTGCTTATAAATATTATGAATACATAAAGGTTTTTATGAAGGAAAAAATAAAATGGCAATGTTGGTCAAATAAATTAAATGAGCAACATAAACAGGGTTGTAATTGCACAGGGAGAATAGGAAAAACCTGGAAAATATGCGAAATTTGAAAATCATCTAAAATAACAAGAAATTTTGAATTTTTTCCCTTATGATCTGGGAAAATACAGGGAATTTTTGTTTCTTATTTTCTTCTTTTGCAAAATGTTGACCTCTCAAAGTGCAAATTATTGATTATTTAAAGAGTATAATATATAGCATAACATATACAGAGAAAACACAGGGAACTTTTTTTTCCAGATTTGAGTTAAAACCCTGATAATATTACGACTAAAAGAAGAGTTAATATTCATGTTATGTCGATAGATATAATTTAGACTAGCATTTCTGAACTGATAGCAAAATTCAATACTAAAACAGGGCTCTGACGGTCCTTAAAAGTCCTTAAAAACTGCTTAGTTTTTATTTTGAAAATTAAGGGCCCTTAAAAGTACTTAATTTTGATTCACGGTCCTTAAAAGTCCTTAATTTCTAGTATCACTAGTTGGTTGGAAAAAATTGTTTATCTTAGGAAAATATCCACAATTAAAAAGTATGTCTTTAGCCTAGAATGAGACCCTGTATCGAGGGTAGAACATTTTGAATGCGTGTGAGAGTAGGGGATACAAGCAAGTGAAAGAAAACATTGTTTTTTATTAAAAATTTTTTTTTCATTAAAATTTTCTTTCTTTCTGGATCATTCTGAAAGAAAACAATTTAGTGTGGGGAGAGGGGAGCGTGATAGTGCAGGTGGGTAGAGTTCTTGACTTATTTTTAGACAGTACTTAGGTACTTTATTAGCTTCGTATCAGTACTTTATCAGCTTAGGTAATTTATCATCGACACTTTTTGTTTTAAAAAGAGTGAAATGTTTGTTTTCTTTTTTCACTTTTGCTGTGTTTTTTTATATATATATATATAGCGCTGCATTTTAACAGCCTTTCTGATATATTTTATCTCTACTTTTTCTTTTAAAGTTATACAGATAATTAGATAACCGGTAAAATAGAAAATTGATTTTCTGCGTTGCAAGTTTTGTTTTAAGAATTTAGGAAAATTTTATATTGCTCTCTTGCCTTTTTGATTAATTGTGTTTTTTAAAATTTTGATAGCATATTTTAAAGAGCCTTCTTTTTCATCATTTTTCCTAAAAATCTGGCTATGGGAAACACTTAAGGAGAACACTTTTACCATATCAATTTTTCTGATAAAAATTGAGAGCTATTTTTTGTTTGGCTTTCCCTTTTAAAAAAAAAAACCAAGAACTTTTGTTTTCGTTATGATGCGGCAATTTTAACGAGCACTACTCATAGGCGTTTTTAAATCGATGTATCGCAGATTATCCACTTACCGCACATATCGGCAGTTCAATATAATTACTTTCATTTTATGCATTAGGAATATGATTTAAGACGACGCTCACAGTTTAACGTGCGAGGATTCTTGCCTATGCTAACGCTGTCGCTGTGCTGACGAAAACTATTTTGATTTCGTCTAGCTGTGAAGATGTTGATTACATTTTTAGCTACGAAGATAATGTTTGTGATGTTGAATAACGAAGAGCAAGGATCAGCGTTGAAATATAGAGCGCGATGCATAGTTTCTTTATTCGCCATTTTTTCCCTTGGGAGTTTACGTTTCTTGAAGATTATTTTTCAGCGGGACTTATTTTGCGATCGCTGTGCGTTTTATTTCGACCGGGTATAACGTTTCAAGTGAGACATTTGCTACTTAGATATCGTTGCGCATTATTTCGTCACTTTTTTTTTTCTGTCTGGATTTAACGTTCTCAATTATTTTCAGCAGACCTACTGTTCCTTGTCGATCACTGCGCAATCGCTATTATCTTACATTTTCATTCTGAACTTAATGTATTAATGAAAAGAAATCATGAATTTAAAAAAAGATTCTTTCTCTATTAGTTTTTTTAAAAGTGATACAATTGAATATTTTATGTATTTAATATAATATTTTATGTATTTATAATATTTTATGTATTAAAGTAATTTCAGGGTGGCCACCCACCTGGAAAACCTGGAATTATCAGGGAATTTTTTTATACTGGAAAAAACCTGGAAATATCAGGGAAATTTGGATAAAAACCTGGAAAGATCAGGGAATTTTAAAGAAAAGCTGGAAATTTTTTCTTTGATAATTTTTTTAATTTCACTAATTTAATTTATTTACTAATTTTCTTAATTTAAATTATTTCATCGATTATACCCACTTTTTTAGACGGAAATGTATCGCTAAACAGTTGAAAAATCATTAACTTAACAATACTTTGTCTGCATCAAAATTTGCTCCATTACAGCTCTGTCAAACTAGAATACCACATAATATTCTCCCACGGTTTGCTAAACGAATGCAGAAACCTTTGACCGCTATGGGGCTGTGCAATTTAGGAAAGATTCTGGTGGAGATGGAAAAGGGGATTAGGATATTAGCTTCTGTTTTTAAATTCTGTCCTTGGGCTGAATCCATTTATGGCTCAAGTTTGTTCCGATACTTTGGTGGTAATTTTTTTTTCTATTTTGACAAAATGTTTTTGTATTTTTAACTTTATAAAATTCTCCAAAAATT